TGCCTATACGCTTCGGGGAAGACGATTCCAGCGAGCCAAGCCTGGGGTCGATCGAACTTTTAGAAGGGCCTCCTGGCCGCATCGGGAGCTGAGTTGAGCCCTTTGAGTTGAGAACGGCGAGAGACCGGAGGCTGGGCTAATACCTAGAGTAGTTTTGTATAAGAAGCACGTGGACTTGCGTGAGGTGCTTGAACCAGCACACCGAGGCGGCATCCGTTCTTTTCTCAACACATCTGCGGCCAAGGCAGTATGCTCCATGAAGTTTTCAGTACAAAGCATGCCACTGTGATCACCAATGATTGCTGGGTCTGAAGCGGCTATACGGAGTATATGGAGCATGGAGGAACGCCCGCCCCCCCGTATTTTGTTTTGAGGGTTTGCGGCGGACCCCCGATTGCTGAGCTATGTCTGCTTCAGTCAAGGCCCTAAGGCTGGTGTTCTCATCATAGCAGCATACACCCTCAGTCCACTAAACTCGGCGTCTCCATTTGGATCTTAACGCAAGAAAGCATTCCTTGAGCATACCCAAGAATCGGACTGCACACCCCTCACGAGCTTTCTCGACTTGATTGTCTCTGTTGCCCAAGATCCCATCACTGACGGGTCATCTAGCCACAACATGCAACCTTAGATGTGTTCAACACAAGGTAGATAGTACAATGTATTAGACGAGTAGCTTACTTGAGACGAAACCCATTTCCCTTGGAATTGACCCGATAGCGCTCTTCGACCCCTACCCGACACCCTGTCACGCCGTTGTCTTAAGGCTTCAAGACACTAAATTTCAGACAGCGACTACCTGGTCACTAGAAAGAGACAACAATGCATGTGTGAGACCGCATGGTGGACTATAGCACTCCAGCTTGGACAGTCGCAACATCGCGAGTTACCGATGACTATAGTTAATTGAGACTTCAAGAGTCTCAACCTTGGAGCTCATTCTCAATCATACAGCATCACCCCAAAGGGCGCTAATGATTAAGCCCTGCGGGCACAGAAGCCCGGGCACCGTGAGTACATGTGGGCAAAACTGTCTAGGACCCTTCACTCGCTAGAGCTCATAGTGTGACTGGTTTCGCCGAAGGTTCCGAACGATACGAACTGAGGATTAAGGGGCGCCGGGGTTGCACAACAGTAGACTGTCTCAAGCGTCGGCAGCTGAAGAAAGACTTTTACTAGTTTTGTGGCTTACAGTAAAACAGAAAGCGGTCAGAACGATCTTGATCATCACAGGTATTTGGTGCCTATCCCTGGACATCGTGAGGCCGGGATAGTCAGCTGGCAGCCCGGATGCCGATGAACTGAATTTCGTCGCAAGGGCGCATGGACTCGAGGAAGGAGTATTCACGAGTACCTAATTACCTACTCAAATGTTATGCGAGGCTCACTAGTTTGCATTAAGACATCCTGATAATGATGAGCCTACAAGCTACGTGTGATGGGAGCCTGGGAGCGACCCTGAGATTGGGAGAACTTATGTCTTCTAGCTAAGTTAACCATCAGTCAAAGCATCTCCAGAAGGCCAGAGCAAGTTTGGAATTTTCGATATGAACTCATGTCTAGCGGACACGCTGGTGTCTTCCGCGGAGGACACCGGGTGACAGACGGGGGCCAAGCTTCTGCGAGGTAATCCTAATGATATTGACCCCGGCGAGGATCTTCCTCCCACAGCATTTGCGCCATGCCCCTGGCGACCCTGAAGACGAAAAGAAAGGAATGATCACAGCAAGTGGAAGCGTACGATGTGGAAGCTGATGCAGATGAGCTTTGTTCTACCTTTAGTGGGACGCCCAGCCGGCATGCAAAGAGGGGGAAGTTACACAATGTGAGGGCGAGGAAGATGGATTGCTGTGCCCAACACTGGCCCAGCGCAAGGTCTGCTTGTTCAAGAGGCTTATTTTCTCATGAGAACATAACGAAGCTAATGCATCTAAATCCTAGAGCGGTTCGCGCCATTTGTGTCACATATCAGAACTCAATTTTCTTCCGCAGTGTCGTCGCAGATGCTATCATGCTGACGGTCATATCCTCCAGTACAGCCGGCCGCCGCTGTCTGAAATTCTGGCCATGCCCCTCTGCTAGCCATCTCTTCGCCTTGTTCTTTCCAGGGCTGGGTGGTATGCATGGTAAGCTACACTGACGGGGAGAGGAATGGATGCGAGGGCGATCTTGGCATCGACGCATCGTACGGGGTCAAACCTCAAACAGCTGCAGCACGATTGGTATCACGGAGACTTACTAAGACCTTTGCATGCGGATGCTGATTGAAATGACGAGGCCGCTTTTTGCAAGGGTGCCGAAAAGTAGCCGAAAGACAAGGAGAAACATCCAGTTCTTGTCGGCTTGGGTGGTGGAGATATAGGTGTGTGACAAGGCCATGTCGTCACCGCGTAACTGGCATTTAGCTGAAGGGACTGAGACAGACAGCAAAGCACTCAGTGCAGACTCGATGCTGTCTACCCATGAGCGTGAAAAAATATGCCAATTCTTGTGGCTATGGAGGGGGAGCTTCATGGTTTATTGGCTTGTCTAGCGGTGGGGTGTGCAAATCCAAGAGCATCAACGCGTCCCAGAAATTTGATGGCGGCCCAGGGGCTTGGAGTGCACCCTAGACATATACCAGCGATGCCAGCCTTCTTTTTCTCTTTCCCCCTCTCGGACCTTTGGTTTCTTTTTTCTGCCCGAGACTCATACTGTAGGAGAAAACACTGTGTAGGCAAGCAGGATCTCACGTCCGGATAAGGGATGGGTCTGTTTCCTCCTTTCCCAGCCTGCCAACATCAGTGTCACACGTGTCCACTGTCAAGGTGATGGGACAACACTAAAAAGAGAGGCGAAGTGAGGGCCGGGGCGAGGCACGAAGGCCCGGGGCGGCCCTGGTGGCACATCGCCGCACATGGTACATTGCTTATTTCGCCGCCAGCCGCGAATCCTCCACGTTCAGTCTAGAGCCTGCCGCCAGAGGAGCACATACCATACACGACCGGGAAGAATGGCAGGCTTCTCGCTGCATCCATCACCCTTATTTGAAGGTCTTCTTGTTCGGACTGAGATACCTGTTTACAGCCCTATCAGATATGTGCCTTTGGCGGTGTCCTTAATGCAGGATGGGAACAGCTGTGCAAGGATCGTTGATCTCTCTTCATCTGCTGTGAGCCTGTGATGTTTCCCCCAGGCTGAATCCGAGGTGCCAAGCCTGCGTCGTGCAAGCTACCTAATATCCCTACTTTCCGTTACTTCGCACAGGTATTGTAAACGGCGCCAACGTCTAACTTACGAGGGCTCGCAGGTCGAGGCCCTCTCTGTCCGAAGGTGTCCAGAGAAACCACTTCCAGATATCTGAATGCCATCAACAAGTTGACTGCAGTAACCTTGCTCCCGTGAACTGGAAGTACGAAGAAAATTCCGTGCTTTCAACTTCCAAAAACAAGCCCCGTGCTTGTGGCTGTCTCGGCCGAACACAATTTGCCTCGAAATTCTGCTTGATTCAACAGGCCAAATCTCAACGGAGCTGAGTCCAGCTCCCCGAATTTCAATGCCAACCTGGTTTGGAACTATTACGCGAACGAGATAATAAACGACGTGAGAGCCGAGCAACGGCCGTAACCATACCGATACTCAGCCTGAGGCAGCAGGTTAACATGCTCTTCCCATCCAGTTTGATCGGGAGTTTTGCACGCATATCCTGCCGGAGATCCGTCGAGGGCCAATAGGCACACAGAAGGCGCATCAAAATCACCTCTATCCTTCTTGGCAAGGACGGTGTTTCTAGATTGCATGCTCAAGTTGTTTCGGCCCGCGACGCGGGGCATGGGTGGGCAGAAAAAGCAGCAGCCCTTCCTCTGACCTTAATCCTTATTGTACCACCGCACGAATAGAAATGAAACCATGGTTATCGCTCAAACCATCCGGAATGTTCCCCGGCAGTGCGCCTCTCTCATGCCTTAGTATCAAGTAAAAGCCATGCTCGAGGCTCCTTCTGCAGTGAACGTAGGTACTGTGCAGCTTTATGCCCAAGATGCCGAGAGCTGCAAGTGTTCGGATGCGCGTCACTATGGGTCGATGGGCTTGAATGAACTACCGCCTCATCAAGTGGAACACGTCCGCTCGATCCACACAAAGGCGTAGGGTCGAGAATTGACCCTCTGGCATCGCGAAGAGAGGGCAAAATCGTCCATCTGAGGTGAAGAGATGAAGATGCAGCGAACATATGGATAACTTACCCAGCTGGCATTATCCAGGGGTCTACCAACGGCTGTTCTGTCATACCGTCCCATATTGCGGCAACATCCCCGCGGCCCCGCCCCCATGTCATTGTTCCTTTTGTAGCTTGCATGGGCATGGAGTGCCCCCACACCGGTGAGATGGCACATTCTCAGGTGTCGCGACACCCATTTAATGCCAGTAGACCGACTAGTTGACACGGCAGACAAGAGGCAGCAAGCCTCGATCTGCCTGCAGCATGGTAGGTAGTTGTAGAGGTCTTCACCTTGCTATGCCCCATGACTCTCTCATCCACCCTGAATGCACGGCTTCTAAACCAATCTAGCGTCTAGATAAGACGTCACTGGAAGGATCTCGTTGGCTGAAGCATAGTGGCGATGTAGCGCTGGTTGGGTCTAGAATCTCTGGGTAAAGTACTTACTCTGCCGTCGGGACTCAGGTGTACGAGCATCTTGTCTACTAGACCGCCTTGGTCCTTTGATTCGCCCGAATACTCCCATCCCCAAAGCATTGGACAGCCTCGGGCATGAAGGCGTCGAGAGGCAGAGACCTTGAACTTGGCGGTGGTAAATTCACGCTCGCAAAGCTGACTTGTTGTTTCTCATCCCTTCCTAGGTATTCCAGTCACCTGGGTATACCCTACATGCAGCTGTTTCTACCGAATCTCACATCAAGGGTGGATAAGTGTCTTGCTGCCCGCTCAGTGTTGACCGCGACAGGTGAGACATAAAGAATGGGAGACTGCCAACGTTGCACCCTGACAGTCCCTGTAAATTGAATCGCCAACGATCTAAGGAGAGCGGATATGGTACCCCCCCTGGCCCACACTTGTTGTGCAAGTAGCTTACACATAGATCATGTCAGTTGAAAGTGAGATCTGAGAGCTGAGACTGCGATGGGGCACACGGAGCCGTGCCTCTACAACTCCTTGGCCAGAGGTTAGCGAAGAAGGGCACGATACACGCGTGCTTGCAGACGAATGCGAAAGAGAGCAGTTGACTCGATCCTCGAACCGGTAGTGGCAACACTTTGCGATACCAAGAAATCACGAACCAATGAAACAGAAATTCCAAGCATCCAAAAGCAAAGAGAGACTATTCTTGTGGCAGATGTTGAATATGCCCCGACGCACATCCTCAAGCGCCCGCCCATCAGCATCACGCGTCCTCCCCGGAGCGCATCGCCCACATTGGTCCAGCATGTAACGATAGACGGCTAGATGGCGGTCCATCGCAAAAGTACCGCGGCGGCGATGACTGGAAGAACACTGACTAGTTCACCCAGGCCCGCAAATTCGGGCGGAATCCTGGCGTTGACAAACGCGCCAGCGCCTAGGAGAATGGCAAACAAGTTGTATACGAAGCTCCAGCCAAAGTTGAAGGCGATCCTGTGGATAGCTTTCTTGCTAATGGCAATGATGGTGAGAATCCCTGCAAGGCTCGGATGCATGAGAACTACGTCCGCGGCGGACTTTGCGACGTCTGTTCCCTCGCTCATGTGCACGCCAATGGTGGCCTGGGCCAGTGCAACTGCGTCGTTAGTACCATCGCCACAGAAGATGACGACGGGCTCTTTCGCATTCTTCGCTCTGACTCGGCCGGCGTCTAACAAAGGTTGAGACAGTAGGTTCTGGATATACTCTTGCTTGTCTCCGGGGGTGCATCGGGAACGAACATTGAGATCAGGGATTCTCAATCGTGAAGCCACTGTTCGAACGGCACCATCATCGTCTCCGGAGAGGATGTGAACAGAAATTCCGGAAGCCTGTAGATTGGAGATTGTCTCGAGAGCATCTGTGCGGATAGAGTCTTCGAGGCCAAAGACGGCAACCAAGGAGTTGTCCACAGTGAAACAGAAGGCTGTATAGCTCTTGGACAGAACTGATTGGACTCTGGGGTCGTTAGAAAGACCAAGCCAACGCGAGTTGCCAGCTCGAAGAGTGACTCCGTCGAGTTTCGCCTCCACACCCTTGCCTGTTATGGCCTTCAGATCCGTAACAGTCGTAGGGGCACCAACGTGTGCCACTAGATGAGTGAAAATGGCAACAGAGACTGGGTGTTTAATGGTGCCAACAAGGCCAAGAAGCACCGATCTGATGGTCTCTTGATCTTCTGTAAAGTATGCTTCATGCGCAACTCTGAGGTTTCCAGTTGTAAGGGTCCCGGTTTTGTCAAAGACAACGTGCGAAGTCTTATACGCAAGCTCAATGCTGTCCGCAGATTTGAAGACGACACCCTTTTCGGCAGCTACACCACTGGCAATTAAAATGACCATGGGTACTGCGAGGCCTATAGCGCATGGGCAAGATACAATGAGGACGGTGATGGCGTACATGACTGCCTGGATAGTTGCTTCAGAGCCACTCTGCTTGCGAACCGCAATACCAACAGCGATCCAAATCGAGAAAGTTATGATAGTGATGGCCACAACTACCGGTACGAAATATGACGCGACTCTGTCAGCAACGTCCTGGATCTTTGGCTTAGAAAGCTTAGCCTCGTCGACCATTCCGGCGATATTACTGATGGTGTTACTGCCTGGAAGCCTAGTCAGACGAACGGTAAGAGCGCCAGAGCCGTTCATAGTGCCAGCAATGACCGAAGATCCGGTGGACTTTTCGATGCGTCTTGATTCTCCGGTCATCATTGACTCATCAATTTCCGAGGAACCTGAGATAATCGTCCCATCGGTAGGAATTCGAGAATCTGGGACGACCTTGAAAATGTCTCCATACTGAAGGAGGCGGGCGTCAATCTCCTCATCTTCGCCACCTGAGTTTACAATCAGAGCCGTTGAGATCTGAAGGGATCGTATTGAGATAGATTCGACGGCTTTTTGTCGCGCTAGAGCGCTCACATACCGACCAACCATGATGAGCGTCACAAGAAGGGTGCTCGTTTCGAAAAATTCTCCAGTCGAAACAGGCTTCCGAGAGACAAGAAACCCAAATGACACAACAGAGAAGATGTATGCAGCACTTGTGCTTAGAACAATCAACAGATCCATCTCAATAACTCTTGAAAAGATCAGACTCTTCAGAGCTTTTGGATAGAAGGGCCCAGCAATTGCGACTTGTACAATGGTCGCCAAGGCCAGCGATGCCGAGCCATAAGCTATTTCTCTCTTTGGAAGAGGTGCCCAGGCCATAATGAGAACGGGAATGGTCAGGATAGTTGAAAGCAAAGTGAACCATCCCATGTTGCGAATGTGCTTGCTTCCGGCCTCCAACGAAGGGTCCGCTCGAAGTGGCGCCAATGTAAGAGGCGTTCCCCAGCCCGTTTCGACCAGAACGCGGGCCCCAACGACCTTCGCGTCAAATTCTACATGAACACTGGCCTTGTCTATGATGCGAATGTCCGTGACACCATTGGGCCATGGCTTATTAATGAAATCTCGGGGATCGCCAGGGCAGAGGATGTCGACACTGGCAGCACCCTGCGTGGTGATCTTTTCGCATTTGAACTCAGTGGTTCGTTCGAGATGTCTGATGACTTCATCCACCGAACCGGCACCAGTCTGCAAGTCGAATTCAGCCCTAGCCAATACCAGGCTGGTCTTCAGGTTTCTGACTGCATTCATCGTGGCCAGAGTTCGCTTGAGCTTGGTTTCGCATCCAGTGCAAGTCATGCCAGAAATGCTCAGTACGACGTGTTCCTTTCCAACCAGGCCTTGCTCAAGATCCCCGTTGATAACCTTCGACTCAGGCGGCAGCGACTGGTTGATAGGTTTTGACGGCGACGGGTCGCAACAGGAGTCGGCACATGATTCAACAATGCTCTGCTTGGGTTTCGAGCAGCAGCCATCATTACATGCACTTAATTTAATGCCAGAAGTTGAGCTGCGAGTTGTTTTTTTGCCGCAGTTTCTTGCCGTCTGACGGGAAGCAGATTTGTCCACCCCGGAAGCGCGACAGGAGTCAACCGAAGTGCGATGAAAAGACGTGGACTTCTTTAAAGATCGCTTCCTTTCGGTGGAGGAGCGCTCACGTGGAGCACAGCAAGATTCCTGACCGAGAGCCAAAAGCGCACGGCAGATACAGCCCAAGGCATCGAGCTTTGACTGATAAATCTCACGTACACTTCGGGAGTGGCCTCGGCACGCCTTCCCGTCTTGGCCACCGGTGCAAATGTTGTCAGTGGAGGCTTGTATGGATCATGTTAGCAGCTAGAAACGATAGGCTCTTTGCACGAAAGTTTACCTTGGTACGATTGACGAAGCTTTAAATCCTTTCCCCCAGCGCATTCGCGGAGAGCGAGGCGATCGATGCAAGTATAGTCACAGCAAGGGGATGTCTTGCCCTCACAACAGCTGGGTGTCTTCTCTCCACAAACGTCAGTTGTAGGACCAGAGGAGCAACAGCCCTTTATTCCATCTTCAGAGCAGATCTGAATAGCTTCGTCACCACCAGATTCAGTCACCAAAATTGCCCTGCCCGCGATTGCTCCATTTGATGTGGTCTCAAGGCTGTCGATTGATCTTTTGCCCTTGGCTGGGCTACAACATCCTGGCGAGCAGTCCTCGGGCTTCGGAGCACAGGAGTCCTGATTGAACTCAGAAGTATTGCTTGACTCCACAATTGACTTTAAGGCGAGGTCGTCTTGTCCTGACTGGCATCCAACGCCAGAAAATATGTTTGCGGACTTGTTGGCAGGCTCGGCGATGTTGTTGTCTTTAGCGCTGATTCCAGTAAAGTGTTCGTTGTTAGATCCGCAGCAAACGTTCACACAGTCGTCAACATTGACCTCTGGAGCGCAACAATCGTCCTCAGCTTGTGCTGGACCAATGCTGCCGTCAATGGACGCGGCGCAGCACTGGTAGATGGCCCTGTTTCCGGAGTCCTTGTCTCTTCCATGATCGGTCATTTTGCATTCGTCGTCCCCCTTGGTTTCGAAGACAACCTTTGAATCGTCTCCTCCGCCCTCGCAGCAGGTGTCGACAACACCAGGGTCGTCGCAGTCTAACTCATCTGGGGGCGAGGCGACCGGAGCCGTGCCGTCTCTTGCGACAGCCTGTTCCTGTGGAGGACCGCAACAACCGGATCCACAGGCCATTGTAAACGTGTTGGGAGGTGAATACGCAATTTCTCTTGTGATTTTCTTCCCCCCGATTGTGGGACGTAATGTGTGATGCGATGGGCAGATGAGATGGCACGTCGGCGGGACTTCGCGGGAGCTTCCGCGGGAACTGCGGGTCCGGTCCCGGAGGCACGTGCTCGGAGGGGTGGATTAACCCCCACCCGCTTCCGGGATACTTAGGTAATGTCCCTTCCCGGCCCGAAGCGCCACACCTCATGTGGCGGTGTAGATCAAGGATCGGTACGTATCCCTCCAGTACATATCGTCAACTCTAGATTTGTCAATTATTCAGTGCTGGATTTTACAATGCGGCTTTGCCAAAGGGGCTGGAATCTATTTCGTCCAAATCAATATTGGGGACCTGCTTGTCGCAAGTAAGAGAAACATGTATTGTTGCCCTCTTCCTCTTCCTCCTCCTTCTTCTTCTTCTTCTCGGACATAGAAGGGAGACACTGGAAGGCAACATTCGGAGTTGAAGGCAATTGATTTAATGATGGTATTATTGCGCACCACGATCTCATCGTTATCAGCCGGATTAGAATTAAACACGTAGATGAACCGATACCTCTCTCTGCTTCATGAATAATAGGTTCCTCAGGTCACATCTGCAAGCTCAGATTGTGAACACTGACAAACGCATTGACGATTTTGTACGAATGACAGTGAGCACCTCAACTTGACAGAGATCCCCAAAGATACTATTTAACAACCTGATTTCCCTCAGAGCAATCCCCGTGATAGGACTCACTCAACTCGCCCACCCTAAGTCAGTGGGCCCTCACAGACTTCTGGCCCTTCTTGCTTGACTTTCCGGAGGATGACTTGTGCCGTTTAGAACTGTACTCCAAATCAACCCTGTAAGCCGCGCCTCGGCTTGCTGAAGTTATAGATCCGTAAGAGGTATTGCCGGATGCAGATGATTTATACGAGCTGTTGCTTCTGGAACACGAGCCTGATGCGGACGGCGGCACAGTTTCTGCGTTCTCATCCACGGAGGGAAATCCGTTGATCTTGGATAAGGCAGAACCTCGACGGTGAGAGCGACTGGAAGAACCGTAGCCAAACTTGCGGCTAGCGGCCCCTTGACGGAGCTCACTGAATGTCATATCTGGGGTAGTCGTTCGTGTTGGGACTAGACCGATCGGTTAGCTCCATGGCCAAAAGGTACAAATCGGAGGATTATTAGACTCACGGTAACGCGCGCATTCCGCACAGCACCCGTGATCGCAGGTCTGAGACTCATTGACAGGGGCGGCGATGCCATAACCTGGTGAGACCTTTGGCATTGTACACCAGCCCTGGGTATTGGGACCCTGGTTACATTGACAACAGGTCCAGGTGCCACCCATCGCCTTGAACTGACAGTTGATCAAAGGGCAGTCGGCATTGCTGGGCTGAGCGGTTGCATAACTCAGATGTGAGCATGGAGTCTCTACACCTGTTTCCAGATCAATCAGGGCGGAAGGGCAGTAGTGCCAGTTGATCGAAGTATGCGAGCAAGGGTGGAGACGAGGGTGGCCGTGACACATGGTGAAGGATGGCGATGTGCAAATTTGTTGATACTTGAAGACACAAATTTATGGAGTCACTGTAGTGAGATGATCAACGACTGATGGCGGTAATCTGTAAAGTTGACTGGATTCGCTCCTCCAAGCAGCTTGCTGTATCTTATATACTTCATTTTTTCCGGCCTTCTCGATGACCCTTCCTTGCGCATGACAAAATTTAAGTTACCGTACTTCCATGATCACTATTCCGTCCTAACTGCCGATGAACGCCTCTTTTGGTTTCTTTTCTCACAGCTACTGACACATGTTCACTTCTTACCAACCATCTCGAACACCACCCTCACTTCGCATCTCATCTGTCATCACCCCTCGCTCACCGACAGTAAGGGTCGTGGAACCTAGGGTCAAACATGGCCCCAATTGACTGTTTCTGGGATTCCAATGTCTCGGGCTGCATGGTGAATGGATTGGTTGGCGTGTATGTTATGTGTTGCATCCATACTTGAGGGTGCGGAAACATAGATCAGGCAGCCAATGAAACAAGCTGCTTGTGCGGCCAAGGCTCTCGCAACACGCCCTCGTCAAATGTGGGTGAAGTCCCCGACGGGAACTCGCAGCTTTGTGTCACACCGGTCCACCCATTATTGCAACACGACGATCTCCACCGTCATCAATCTCTGTGTTACGCGTCTTACATCGGATCCATGGGGACGAATTCCTCCACGAGTGGTTTGAGCAGCGGATGAGAAGCCCGCCCTCCCGGTGCCTGGGTTCGTAAGATCTCGCTAGGAAGCTCGACGCATGACTATCTTGTAATAGTCTAAATGGAGGGTTTCACGATAATCACGATCCTTATTCGGGGCTGATATTAGCCCTGGTACTTAGCCTCGCCAATCGGCTGCTTCAAAATCTGAGTGGTCGGGAGCAAAGTGGCGTGAGTTGGGAGGGGTTGTTGGCTGGATCGAAATGCAAGAGTGCAGGATCTGGAGCCCGAGCTGGGTAGCTGCTTAATGTGACCCAAGTTGAACCCATCCGATCACGATCTCGATATCATGTTCAACTACTCACAGATACGGGATCTGGGCAAATGTCATGCAGGAACGCGGCACCGCAAAAGGTTGCGGACAGTTTCATCACTTAGGAAGATTAGATCGATTATACAGTGCGAGACAATCCAGTTGTCTGAGATTCCCCTGCAAGCACCCGTTGCCACCGACGATGGCGATGGATGTCACCATGAGAACTTGCTGGCTTACTTGACCACTGCGAGATTGTTGGAGAGAGAACAAGTGGAACCCATCCTTTCTATGTGTCTCTTAGCCCACCACTGACTCATAATCCCTTCCTGGGTTTGGACTCCTCCAAAAGACAGATTGTCATGACGTCTAGTCACTAGAGGATCTCATGCTGAGTCTTTATCCTTCTTTCACCTCATCTCCTAAGCTCCAAGAAGTTGTTTGTCTCCACATGCCATCCGATTCGTTACTCCATCATGTTCAACCATCCATGGCGGCAGTACACGTCGAGCAGCAGATATGCTCGCAGCGGTACTCGTTTCCGTCAATGATCATGATGCAACTACATCTGCCTCCATCGTTCCAACCCTTGCCACACCAGCAGCAGTTCCAGCACCTGTTGCGGCTTTCATATGGGCAATTTGCCAAAGGGCACTTGGGCAAGGCTCTCTGGTCATAGCCTGGAGGAGGAGGGTACGGAATGTTTTGTTGAGTCACATCTCTGCAGGTTTTGCGTTTGGATGGATCTTTTTTCGAGGATGCCGACGCCTTGGAGCAATATTCGATTTGAGTCTGGATATGCTCGCAGGGCAACTTGAAAGCTATGGTGTGGCACATGACGTTTTTCTTTAAGGTTTTCGAATACAAATGTGTTTGTCGGTATGCGTATGTTGCAGTTGAAAGTTTACGAAGATAGAGAGGCTGGAGTTAAATACTCAAGTGAGAATTTGAGAGCCACAGGCACGATATGATGCTCAATGTTCCGATTTTACTTTTAGGTCCTGAGATACTCATCGACTATTCTGGGGTTTCTATCCTCAACTTTATACTCAGAATCTCCGGACAGAAATGTACAGAAGAAGCAGGTTCGGCGATCTGCTCCGACCTGTCGGTAAGCATATTGAGGCGGCCACGATTTCTTCCCCTTCCCCTGACGATCAGTAACCACTGCATCGGGTCCCAATCGAAGGCTTTGGCGGCCTGTTCGCGAAAGGCGAGCAAATGACTCGCAAAATGCATCCAAGATCAAATAGTTTGAAGGGTTATTGAAAGAAAAACGTGGCAGCCAGGTCTCTGATATGTATCAGGGACCGACTTCGGACGCATTGAATCCCGGAGCTTGATCCGTATCTGCTTTCCGCTAGAACAAAATCGCAACAGACACTTTAGTCAGGCAAATGTGCGAACCATTTGTGTGAAACACGCAGTAGAAAAGATAGCATTTCGATTGGTCTATATTGCTTCATGTGTCGCAAAGGCTCCCAAGCCTCCTCGTCTCCATCGTTCAGCCTCGTGCGTGGAGTTGGGCTCGTGGTGAACAGCCAGGAAGCAAGTTGATCACCAGGAGGCGCTCTCGGCCGACGGCAACACCCCCTGCCTGATGTTCTCTCCAATCTGACTGGTCTTCATCCCGATACGTGTACGACCCGACATCAGCTGCTGGACTAGGGCCTAAAAGCCTAGACTCTGATACCCATTTTTCCACGGCCCATGAAAGGCCGAGAACTTGGATGTGGCGGCTGGTGAACGAGCATCGAGTGAGATATGGCGCCACCTCTGGAATAGCAAATCGTCGGTCTGTTGAAAGATTCCAAATCACTTTTGCGAACTCCTCGTGTATTCTTCCCTGTCTCCACGTCGTCGTCGTCGTCGTCTATCAATGGAGCTCAGTGGCTGTGCGGTGCCCATCACCTTGTCTTGCCTAGCGAGGGCGTCAGGACTCAGGTGTTAGTGTCCGCCGTACAGTTTCTGCAGACTCGATGGTAGCAGAAAGTGTCTGGACTCTTCTTCATTTTGTGTCGACACCAGCGCAGTGTGTTACTTCCTCTGCTGCATTGGCAGCAGATCCAATAGCTGTTCAACTCTTGCAAACGGCAGCTGCCGGCACTGCACTCGGGAGAAATCAGACAGCCCCCAGTTGCGCAAGGATTATCAAAATCAACATTCTGGACCGCATTGGAAGTGACTTTATCGCAGGGAGTCTGAAAATTGCCATCGGAATCTCTTCCAGCGTCCATGCAAAATTCCCAGTGGAAGACATTGTCAATCGGCCGAGGGCACGGCTGAACGTGGTGGTGGTGAAGGTAGGACCAAGTGCACATGGTTGATGTCCCTAAGCTGAGCAGAGAGACTCCAAGATATCGGTAGTCTTCACGAGGGCTATTTCCGTACGTGTTTCCCCGTTTAGGTAGTTGGAGGTAGTAAGGTATCGATAAAGTCGACAACCAGGAAGGAAAAGGAGTCCTAGACAAGATGCGGAGACCGATCTCAAGGACAGAAAATTCCGTGGTTGATCGAAATATAACGTGACACAAAGATGCGAGCTCCGAACAGATGTTTTGTGTAAGCAGTGGGAGCCAAGAGACGGTTCGAGGAAATGCGGACTCTAGGCGAACTGGGTTGATTGTGTATGATGGAGCTGAGTGTCGATCTGGGCCGACTTATGAACAGAATTCCGATAGAATTGGTAAACACAAGCAGCCTGCATCTGCTAGAGAAGGTAACAGTGAGTTGGCGAGCAAGAGCAAAGTGACTCAGTGAAACGGTTTGATATTGATTGGGATGGCACCCTGTGATGTTTGATGCCGTTGCTGCCGCGTGCTTCGACACTTCTGAGTGCAGATGTGAATCCTCTTATACATCATACCATTGGAGTTTTCGTAAGGTCCTTGACACAGCTCACAGCTGGTTCTCGCTGAATCTCGAGTATTGGGTATCTGGCCCATCTCAAAGCCCCGGCTCGTCACTACCACGCTGTTGGGACCTGGCCACCTCATTTCTCTGATGTTTGCCTCACGAACCCTGAGGGAATGGCACGATTCCTCTTCCAGGCTTCAATAATTGGCCGCCATTGTCAAACCCATGGGTCGCAATTCAGACTGTCCCTCCGGAGAATGGCGAAGCACGTGGCTTGCCCATGCTTACCGGTCTCGCAACCAGTGTTCTCTTTAATGTGAAGTTCCAATGATATCAAGAGGAATGAGACACAGAGGCACACTTTTGTAACAATGCACAACTTCGGGAAAATTGCCTTTTCGTCGCCCATATGGAGGCCACATGAGATGGGCATGGCAATCAGCCACAAAGGCGCTATTCACCCTGGCTCCCACGAGTTGCCATTCTCATTTCCGGGCTACTGGTTCCGGGTTCCAAGGCTGATGGGACTAGCGATGATGTTTACCCATCATCGCGATATTCGAAGGCGTTCTAGAAACCCCCTCATGTGTGTAGAGCACCTTTCTCGAAGCTGATATGGGACAACACCATGTACCCCAGAGTTGCCTTGTTCCAAAGTGGATGTACAGCTTTTTCGTGTGCTCCCGGGCCTCAAGACTCAGTTCCACGAAAGTTCCCTTGTTTCCAATCATGAGAAAACGTCCAGTACCCCCCGCCAATGCCAGTGTAAGAGATTGATGACCCAATGCATCTTATTCGCAATCACGTCGGCTTGTTGGAGGAGGAAAGAGGGGTAAGTACAATGAGATAAAATGATGTACACAGGAGAGGACTTGTAGAATGTATCCGACTATTCCCTTTGGCTCTGCCTCATCGAGAGCTGCAGGATGTAGTGTAATATTAGATTTGGGCTCGAAATCGAGTTTTCAGCAGGAGTCGAGTTAATGGCGGCCGACTCTTACACATCACCGGCGTTTAGCGCGATATATCGGGTCACACATAACTTATGCCACAGCCTTCAGCCCGAGAACTGCGGCAGCTGTGTGCCCCAATTGAAGGAGCGTGCGCCAAAGGAGTATACCATACCTCAAATATCACGATCCTTGACTTTGTTGGAATGTTCCTGTGTGCTTGGAGCGCTATCATAAGTGGTCACCAACAGTTCCGACATCAAAGTCACCTGCGAGAGCTCTTGCAAGAACAGTAACATGTAGCAGCTAAAAAATTCATTCAGTAATGCGTAACCCCGAAAATCTTGTCTCGCCAAAGTCTGAATATCAAACCAGGCACGATATCCAATGACGACGTTCGGCCAGCTCCGACACAGAAGGGTAGACTACTGTAAGAGCAAACTACATACTGCAAGGCACGTCAGATCAACCACTTATACCAAGACCCGGCCGCTCCTGTGGCTGTTTGAAATGGTGACACTGCATGTGATCAGCAGAAAGTGCGATCAAGGTCTGTCAAGTCATGCAGGTTATAGTGGAAGGTACTGATGGCTGATATGGAGGCTTTCTGGCGTACTTCAAGGGTCCATGTCCCGAGAAACCGGAAGTCCATTCTTCAGCGACGGAGTGGCTAGAACAAGATATCAGGCTTCTCTGTCTGGCCTTCTCTCACTCACCAGACCCAAGTATGTTGGTCTTATCACCGATCAGTCGCCTTGATCGAGCCCTAGGGCGTTGAACTCTCGCGTATTGTTAGACATCGGGTCGGAACACTCCTCCGAATTGGGAATTAGTGCCGGAGATATATCACACGAGAGCAAATCCGCCTACCGAAACTGCGATGCGGCTGTACGTTCCCGTCGGCTACACAAGGTCGAACATTGGCTCCTCGGTTACCAGCAGAGCTGGGAAAGCGCAAGACCTTCCCCATTGAGATGCGTCTCTATGAACGAAAATGATAGATGTAGCTGGGATAGCCATAAAATACCCAATAGCTTCACTCCTCGGAGCTGATTCAAAGCTTACGGCCGGAGAAATCAGAGACTGCTGCGCTCCGTGGGCAGTTGAAGCTGGACTTGGATGATACCAGGCTCCAGATTTCCACGCAAGCCGTAACACAGACGTTTCTGAATCAAATTGAGGCAAGTTTCCAGGGTGACACAGAAGGCCTAGATCCGAAAGACTCGAAGCTGTGCAAGTGGGAGCCCTGGAAGCCCATGTCTCAGTACACGATGTTTAGCGCCGCCATCGAGAGGCTAAGTACTCGGAAAGAAAGAAGATTCGTCACTGAACGATTCCAGATGCCGACCACCTGCACCATTCTTTTCGCAATTGTGTGCTTGCCAACTGATTTGGTTTGGTCCTCATCTCACAGAGTACCTATGAGCCATCCGTTTCTCTCAATTGCATATACGGCCTCAGCTAGATAAGCTGGACTAAGTGCACAAGCGCTTGACGTCAAGATGATGCCTGAACATGTCGAAGGGCGTATTGTCTCTCAAAGCTTGTTACTGGAATGCCTAATGATAGATGGCACTCTTCTAACTTTATGTGAGATCTTCCACGAAAGCCAGAGCCCATGTAGCAGTAACCCATGAGGCTACATGTATCCTCAATGAATATTCACAAACACTACTGCCGATATACCAAGTCGTTTTGTTCATTTCTCATTAGCAGAAGCTCTTGGGCGGTTGACAAAAAGCTGAAAAGATGCCAAGACATCTGAGCTTCTCGCGGTCTCACTAAGTGAGACGCAAATTGCCAGTCTTCTGTCGATGGAAGAGAACTTAGTAAGACAACTCACCGCTTCGATCGCAATCGTCTTAGTATCGACTGCATGATTGGATGCTCTTCCCGAAAAGCAGCATGGTAAACATAGAATGGCATGATCATAAACTAAGGGAGCTCCCCATGAGCCGTTTGCATTCCGGACTTTTCACAATTAACGCCAATCACCGCGTTCCTCCCCGCATACTTCGACTGATCCAATCTGAATCCGCTAACAACAAGCGCGAGGAGCTGAAAATCTTCAGCCGCTCCACGAGAATTCAGTGGCAGTTGACCGTTCAACCCCTCACCCGCACCCGTAGTTGCCGGTGGGTGTCTTGCCGCATCGAGGCAAGTGGTGATCCACGGTTCGAACCTTGTCACGCTCGTCAACCTTGTTAGCATGGTGCTGTCTCAGTAGAGAGCCGGACACAACCAATCACTTCTAGCCCCTTACTTGCCGGCCCGTTCCTTGGGCTAGGCCGACGGCTGACAGCATCAGAAGCGGGCTGTTGCTTAGGTATCACTCTTGTTTCTCTCCATGCAAGTGTTTGATCTTCCCAAATTCCTCTGTGGTGCTCTGAAGATCTCCCATCACCCTTCCACAGATGCAGAAGACGGTACTTATGGTAAGCTAGTCGAACTACCTGAGTACCATCCAGTAACTTTAAAATCGACTATGCAACATGAATATCTGCCAGTCATGATTCTGTTTCGAGTCAAGATCCCCGAATTGTATCCCGCAGATAAGTTGGTGGAATTCGTGGCGGTAAACATTTCCATCAGTTCACGTTCCATGTCCGGTTGCGATTTCGAGTCGAAGCGCCACGCCGTTCCAGTCCAAAGTCATCACGGCCTCGAATGTATCCCTACTCAGCCATCAGTAAAGTAAGGGCTGAATGATCCGCGAACGTTGATGAAGGCAAAAGCCTAGGCTTGCTGGTATGATAACGTAACGATACGAATCGTGCTCAAAAATGCTCAAATCCCCGTTCTCATGAGTCCCTTGAAGCAAAGCCTGCCGAGCGGGTTCTGATCATTTATCTTTAAGCCAGCTATTGAGCTGCCACGCCAAAACGTCATTATGTTGGCCCTTCGCCATGTTTGGATCATCGTTACTGATGTTGCCAATTCACTCTTTGGTTCACCCTTCTTCCGAGACGGACCTCAACACCACCTAGGAGCCAAGTTTAGCTGGTCTCACATCGGCCTAGGAACTGCCGGACATGGCAGTCCTGTCTTCACGCCTCCCGGAAGCAATATTGACAAATTTGTCTGTGACTACAGCCATATGAAAGGCTTCAAGGCATGTGGCACTGCAGATGACCGGAAATGCTGGCTTCGCAACTCGGAGACTGGAGAAGAGTACAACATCACAACCGATTACGAGGACAAGGTGCCGCAAGGCATCACCCGTGTTTACTATCTTAACGTTACAGATGGATCCATCAATGCCAACGGCCAGAACTTCACCGAAGCGAAGTTGTTCAACAACTCTTGGCCCGGGCCTCTCATTGAAGCTTGCTGGGGTGATACTGTGGAGATTCACGTTCAGAACTTCCTCGTCAACAACGGAACCAGCGTTCATTGGCATGGTATCAGACAGAATCAAACGATGCACATGGACGGTGTCAACGGCATCACACAATGCCCCATCGCCCCGCAGTCCAGCTTTGTTTACCGGTGGAATGCCACACAGTACGGCACCTCATGGTATCACAGCCATTACTCGGTTCAGTATGCCGACGGAGTGCAAGCTCCCATTGTAAGTCCTATTACTTGAGTTTCAGTCTCTTCAAGTTTCGAATGCTAATCATCCTACTTCAGACCATTCACGGACCAACATCATTCCCGTATGACGAGGCTATCGAGCCAATCTCCGTGACTGATTGGGGTAAGTCAGACCAAGCCATACCTGCGTTGTCATGCTGTATCGAGCTGATACTAATGAATGGATTCCAGCGAACAATAGCGCATTTGAAAACATGTACATAGCTGCAACTGGTCAAGACATCCTACTGGGTGGCAAAGGAAACATCAATCGATTCACTGGAGGTATTGAAAACACCACAGACATCCCCCGTGGTTACGAGATTTGGTTCGATGACATCGACCCCAACCCTGTTACGAGAGCAAAGCGGTATCTCCTACGCCTTGTCAACACCGCATTTCAATCCACGTTTATCTTCTCCATCGACAACCACAATTTTACGGTTGTTGAGGCAGATTTTGTCCCCGTTGAGCCATTCAACGCTACTTCTATTCTCATCGCCATCGGACAGAGGTATCACATTATTGTCGAGGCAAAGCCGGTTGTCAACAGCTCGAACCCCGATGCTAATCCTTTACCGGAGGATGGCAATTTCTGGATTCGCACCCACGTGCCACTAGACGGAAACCAGACATCGGAAGGAGGCACCACTGTGGACGTGAACAACTACATGAAGACTGGTATCCTGCGTTACGACAGTTCTAGTACAGCAGACCCAACTACGACGGGTTGGAACATCAGCCTCGTTGTCTCAGACACTGAGTTCAACGACAAGCTTGTACCCACTGTTCCCTGGACGGTTGGACCCCCCTCAAACGGCAAAATCGGGGAGGAATTCAATATCGCGGACTTGAGTAACGCGGCAAACCCGAACGGCCCATACGCGACAGCATTTTTCTCTTTCGAGCGACCGGACAGCAAGGACGTACGACCTTTCCAGACCACCTATGGCAATCCTACCTTCTTGAACCTCGACAATGTTGGCGATGAGTGGCCGACAGGATGGGTTGTCGTGCCGGAGAACTATACCGCTGATGACTGGGTGAGTTTGATTGCGCGTTGGATACTATTATCGAATGTGTTACTGACTGGCAACTTACACAGGTCTATCTGGTTCTGAATTCCGACAACAACGACAATACCCACCCAACATATGGTCCTCATCCAGTGAGTAGCGGTAGCGGCAGCCCCTGATTAGATATGGTACGAAACTGACTGTATTCAGATCCATCTCCACGGCCATGACTTTGCCATCGTCGAGCAGGCGGATGACAAGTTATGGAACCCCAAAGACTTCAACCTCGAGAAGATCAAAAGGAACAATCCCCCCCGCCGTGACGTGGTACTGCTTCCCAAGAGCGGCTACGCCGTCATTGCCTTCAAATCAGATAATCCCGGCGTTTGGTTAATGCACTGCCACATTGCTCGCCACGCCTCTGCGGGCCTGTCTCTGCAAATTATGGAACGACAGGCCGACGCCAACCTCATTTGGCCAGCCGGGAACTCTCAGGCTCTGGATAATGCCCACAGTCTCTGTGCAAGCTGGAATACTTGGGCGTATGACTGCAAGAACTACTGGCCTGGCAACGTGGGTACCGATGAGAACCCAGACTTCCCCGCCTGCGCCAACGCCACGAATCTGCAGAACGATTCTGGAGTTTAAAAGAGGATGAGCGCACTGAGAGGATAACAATGATTCATCAGTATGATGAGGCAGTCTAATGATAATGTGGGAGACGATGGAATGGGAAGCGGAAGGAAAATGATATAATATGGAGCATCCTGAAGAGTAAGCAAGAGAGTGGTTTGAGAAGAAATCGGTGAAGATAGCAACATGATTGATGTCCAAGATTTCCGTGACTAGCAGCGGTGGCTGATGTAGGCAAGGCAACTGGCGGCGACAGAATGGCCATTCAACCCGTTCCACCGAAGCAAACAACTTAGATTCGCTCTTATTGTCCTCTCAGCTCTCCCGGCTAGGCGGACTCATGCAGCCGTTGAGCCAATCTTCCAGCAAATGCCAAGCTCACACATGACCCGGCCAATGGGCATACTGCCATCGTATGCTGGTGTGGTATGCGACCCGGCGGCGTGGGTTTCGCGTGGCTTATCCAACGGGCGACAACCAACGGCCAAATCTGATGGTGGCGTTCTGGGTCTGCGCTGTCGAAAACGCATGTAAGCGCTGACTCCCAGAACAGATATACGAGTGAGCGGCACTTTGTCGAAGGAACGCCGTTGAGGACAGCCTTGATTTGTCTTTTCCAGTCTCATCATCCCACGTCGCGATATCAGAGCAACGACAGTGAGGTGAGAGTAAGCATGGATGAGATGTGTGAGTTGGCAATGGATGCTGTTGAGTGGGTGTCTGGCCGGTCAACTCTTTTGCCTGCGACGGGGTTCCCGGGGCCGAATGCGATGAGATTCCTTCATGACTATGTTTATAAACCCCTACGAGAATCACGACACGAAGTCAAATTCTCGTCCGAGACTCAGCAGCGCCGTCTCAACTCGCCTATGATGCCATTCACAAAGTTCACGGAGCTCCCTCCCGAACTCCGCTTCAAAATCTGGGATGAGGCAACAGCCGGACCGTCAATACACATCTTTGATGTCTGTTTTCCGTCCTGGCGCGGCACCGATCGAAGTAGACGAGCTTTTCAATCCGCGGACGGTAAGATTTCAGAGCGGAACCACGCCAGATGGACAAAGTACAGAGAGTGCGTCTTCTTGGACGCCCTCGAAACGGGACCGGCGGAGCTAGCGCGACATACGAGGATAGCAAGACACATGCACGATCCATCCGTCTACAAGCAACGGCAAACGATGCGGCTAGTGTGTTCTGAAGCCTCGGCGGCCGTGGAGAGGCGGTTGAAGGGGAGGAATATGAACTCCGTCTACCTCCCCGGTCGGAACCAGAGAATACGCTACGACAACGAAGAAGACGTGCTGCTATTGCGGTTCGGAGACGGCGGTGCCCTCACGGATCTCAGCCACGGGGTTTTACTTGGCGAATATGAGGCTTCGGGAGTGAACAACTTGACCGAGGTGCTTGAAGGGCCGTGGAGCGCCGAGATAGCGACGACGTTGCGTGATGCGCGGCTCATCGCTTTGGATATTGCGGAGACGTGGACGCCAGCAACGGTTGGGGCGGTGTTGTTCGAAGAGGTGACGTATCTGGCATGTTGTATACAACGGGGACTCCGCGTGCTGTACTTGGTCGACCACTGCCACGGCCGATGTACCCGATGCAAGAAGCAGGATGTCACGAGATCTCAGCTCCAAACCCGCGGCGAACTATATCACCAGCTTCACAGTCGAGACAGAGACGCGGCCAGATCGCGAAAAGCGGACGTAATCCATGGTGTCGGGAAGACGTATCGGGAGGTGTTCGATCTGGAGGGCATGGGTTGGTCAGACGAGCACCCGATCTACATGTTTGCGAGTGTTATGGACGAGATGATCAGGAGCCAGCAGACAGACGCTGCTACGCAGGATTTCGAGGGAATCAGGGTGTTGCTGGTGGAAGACGATGAGTTGGAGGGCGTGGACAGCACGACGGTAATGGACTGTTATCCGGACAGCCGTTCACAGGTCGCCAATGAGGGCGTGGACATGAGCCTGCGGTAGTCGAGCTAACGACGCGGGTGAGAACAAGAGACCTTCTCGGCGTGAGAAGGGCGAGATAAGCTGACTGGCGAAAGGGTGCCTATTCCAGCTGGACCAAGTGGTTGGGTCGAACCGGCTGACGTGGGGCAACGAGGAGCTGATTTCGTCGAAACGGCATATGTCGAAACGACTGGAAGGATGCGAGCTAGGGAGGGAGACCTTGTATTACTATAATCTCTGGAAGAAGAGACGTTATTGACAACAATGTGGCCGCCGGAAACATTGACAAAACGTGCTGAAGCCCACCAGTTTTTCTCTACTGGGAATACCTTTTGACGCCATACTATGCATATACCACGCAAGCTCAAAACCACACATACACGTATAATTACCTCGCTAGAAACTGTGAGTTGGTTAGCAACAGAGCTTAGAACATGGAATGATGATAATGATAATGATGATGATGATGATGATGATGATGAAGGCTAGACTTACCGTATCTCATAGGAACCCGCTCTCGTCATGTACCGCACCCACTTGACGCTCGAATAGTTGCTCTTTTCGAACACCTTGAGGTACCTAACCAAGAGGCCTGAACTGGTGAACATCAACAAGCTAAAGTTGAGGCTCAGGGGCGGCCGCGACCAGGCGCGCTGATTCGTCATGCTCGTCAGGATGGCCTCGGCGCTCAAGACAAACTCGCTCTGTCCCGTAAACCGCCCGATCTTCCACACAATGTTGTTCTCGCTGGGCTCGTACTTGGCCTTGCCCTGGGTGCACCGTTCCGTGATCTTAGCAGTGTTGAGCGGTGTAGGGATGCGGACGACGACGTTGGTGGCGAAGAGCTTTGCGCCAAAGTTTGCCTTGATGCCGATGCTGTATTCGACCTTTGTGCGGCCGACCTCGTTGACGATGGCGTGGATCTTGAAGGGGAGGTTGACGTTCTCGGTGGCGCGGTAGCGCATGAGCTCGAACTCGCCGTCGGGCGGAACGAAGGAGATGATGCGGTCGCTGTCGAACTTGCCCAACTTGACGCACTGGTGGAATTGACAGTCTTCGAGGGTGACGCTGCCGGCGGCGGCCTTGGTGGCCTTTGTCCCCATCCTGTTTCCACTCGGTAGACTCAAGAGCCCGTCGTTGTCGAGAAGTAGCCGGTCGTTCAGGCCGAACTTGCACTCTGGGGTACCAGAGAGGTAGGCGCGCATGACGATCTGACCGGTGACGTCGGCGCGGAGGACTGCTCCCGTGGCGGACATGAGGAGGTTGACGTCTTCGATCACGTCGACGAATGCCTCGTTCTTTCTGTACTTAACATCTGCCTTGCGCCACGAGAGCGCGCCTGTCGCCTGCATTGTAATCTTGGCCGAGTCCTCGGCGGCTCGTTCTGACTTGACGCCTTCGGTCGTGATGTACATCTTGAGGGTGTCGGTTTCGGTGTTTTGAGGGTAGCCAAAGTCAATGATCTCTGCAAGGCGAAGATTAGAAGGGGAACACTAGCAACACAGTCCATTGAGCCGGAGTGATGTGGCACGTACCGTCGAGCAGCTCATAGACAAGCACGAAGTTGTTCTTGACAGCCTCCTCATCAAACTTGCCAAAGTAGCCCCGTCCCAACGCAATTAAGCGATAGAGGAACTCAAAGACCAGCGCAGCATTCGCATTGCTCTTGGTAATAGCAACAAGGTAAATGTTCTCATGCTTCACGTGGCTGAAGGTGGTGCTTCCGAGGGTCAAGATGGGGGACCGGACTTGGGAGTTCGAGATCACTTGAATCCGGAAGACGTCGGCAAGTCTGGGCCTGCAATCGTTGCGAAAGGCGCGGAAGATGAGGTTCTCGCCCTTTTGGTTGAAGATGAGGATTCCAGACAACATCGTGGCGGGTCAGGGGGTGAGGGCGCGCGCGCGAGGGGAGCGACCACTGGGGATTGACGGGCGGACGGAGAATCGGAAGGGCGCGCGGTGGTGAACAGTAGTAGAGCTGGTGGGATGAGTTTGTTGGTGGTTCTCGAGGCACAGGATCGCGGGCGGGACACGGCGGGGACAGCGGCGGGAACTGGCTCGGTCAGCCGTCAGGGGAGCTTCCACTTTGCGACTTGGTCGAGGGGGACGGTTTCGGGACCGGCGGGAAATTCTGCCAGGCCCCAAAAGGGTCCGGGCGGTGAGCCTCTCGGTGGACCGGCGCTCCGTGCGGTGTGGGACACGATGGTCCATGCTTCTTGTCTTAGGTAAGCTGCTTGGAGTTGCCTTACGTGATCCACTCACGTGCGGACCGTCTTGACGTGTAACGGTCGGTACCTAGATACTTGACCTTCTTGTTTTATGTAAGCACAGTGAATTGGACAGTGCCAATACATTTTGACACTTCCGCCCCGGTCGTCTTCCTCCTCTTACACCAACACCACCACCATCACCACCACCACGAATCTCCTCCTCCCAAGACAACAAAGTACGATCCTTATTCGCAACAGCATGCTCATCTGAACTTCCGGAATATTTTACGGCTGGACTGCGATATCGAGCACGGGCCTCTGGATCCGAAAGATGCGCGTCGGTACCATGAACCCTTGGCATCTCACCACCAAAAGAAGAGTCTGCCTCGACATGCTCTTGTCACCACCCACCAACTACCTTACCTACCTTATATGCATAGCTGATAGTACACGACTTTCGGTTGATCATCTCTTGTCGCGTCAATTTTATTGATATCAGCGCGGCTTGCAATGTTATGTATACTCTCAAGCGAAGCCTCTTACAACTGCCACCAATTGCCACCGCGGTAATGACATGAGGTTGCTGGACGTCCAAACCTCGACGAAACGTCAATTTGGATCGTTCCCGCAGGCCTGGGAACCCAAGATTGATGGCCGATGGTTATTAGGTAGGCAATCAGTATTGATTGCTTCCGCTCTTGACACTGATTAACCTCATTAATACCAGACAGGTCCGAGTACCACAGCACCACCATCGACGCGGTTCACCACCACCACACAAACCCCAATTTCTCCAACTCGCTTGTCGTCCCTTGCGTCTTGCGTCCTGTCCTTCAGTGCCCTTCTGAGTGCGGCTCCGATTAATCGCCATGCTTATTCCTCTCTTCGCTCACGGTACCTGTCTCTGTACCTGAAGCCAAGCTACTTTCGCTTCGGCTTTCGATCCGTCAACTTCGCATCCCCTGACTGGTTATCTCTGTCTTTTACCTACACTTTCCGACACGTTCGCGATGCACTTCTCCGTCTTTAAATTAAACGGCATAGGCACGCCATTCCTACTCAGCGTTATCTCGGGCAACGAAGCCGCCTTTCCAATCGAGAGTTTGCTGGATTGCAACTTGACCGGAACGATTCAAAGAGCTTCCCGACCCCTCATGGCACCCTCTTCAACGGTCCCCACATCCATCACGCCCCCATGACCAACGCGCTCTTCCCTTCGTGGCTAATATGGAGCGTCGCCTCCGAGATGACTTACACTCCGTTACATCCAACACACGCTTTGCCCACACTTTGGCTGGCGGACTTTGCTCCTCGACACCATGGAATATCGACGGTGGCCGTAGTCTGCTGCATCTGCCAGCAATTCATGGCTCCATGCCCAGCTTTAGAGACCTGGTCCAGCATGCCGTTTACCAGGCGATTCCATGGTTCGAGACCCGTCCTTCGGATGTCTCTTCCATATGCCCATAGACCCATGCTAACGATGGCTCCCTCGGCTTGATCTGCTTTCCTGACGCTTTTCTCAATGGAGTAATCAAGCTCAAGATGCCGCTGCCTCACTCCGAGATCGTGGGGCAATGTTTCTCTCCCGCCGGCAACCCAGAATAGGCCCAGCACACATCCATCCCGCCGTTCCGAAAGGCCAAGCGGTGTGTTCAAGAGATCCGAGTCCTCAAGTCAGGTTGGCAACATGATAAAAGGACCATGTCCCAGGTCGTTCATCATCAGCTCCAGACTTGCAACCCACGGACATCATCTCCTCTCCAGAGTCAAGCCATTATCCCACAACAGAAGCAACCATGGCTGCTCGTGCGTTCCTCACTGCTGCCCTCTTGGGAACTGCAGCTCTTGCCGTTCCCATCGAGGAGAGGCAATCTTGCGGAGCCGTCTGGTAAGTAGGATATGCAGCTTGAACGAGGAAATAATCTGACTGGCGACCAGGGCACAATGCGGTGGCCAAGGCTTCACCGGCCCAACGTGCTGTGCTTCTGGCAGCACTTGCGTCGTCAACAACGCCTATTACAGCCAGTGCTTGCCCGGCAGTGCTTCGTCCGCCAGCTCTGCTGCCGCTTCATCAACTGTCCGCTCTAGCTCTTCCGCAGTCGTTAGCCCTTCCCGAACCTCGACAACCGCCGGGGCCGGTACCACTACCACGCAGGCCGGAACTGCCACCACCAGCGCTCCCGCGGTCACCGGTGGTGCGACCTACACGGGCAACCCCTTTGCCGGAGTCAACCTCTGGGCCAACTCCTACTACGCCTCCGAGATTACAACTTTGGCTATCCCGTCCCTGAGCCCTGCTCTGCAGACGGCGGCCGCCGCCGTTGCCAAGGTGCCTACCTTCATGTGGATGTAAGTTATCTATGCTGCGTACCTCGGTGTTGAAGGTCTCCTTTTGCTGACACCGTCAAGGGACACCCGTGCCAAGATTCCCTTGGTTGACTCCACGCTGGCCGATATTCGCAAGGCCAACGCCGCTGGCGGCAACTACGCCGGCCAATTCGTCGTCTACGATCTTCCCGACCGCGACTGCGCTGCTGCCGCCTCCAACGGCGAGTACGCCATCGCTGACGGTGGTGTTGCCAAGTACAAGGAGTACATCGACGCCATCCGCACCATGATTCTCAAGTACTCTGACATTCGCATTCTCCTCGTGATCGGTATGTGTCTTGTCCCGCGCCCGTTAAGATCTGCGTCTCCTAACTTTCTCGTCAAGAGCCGGATTCCCTGGCAAACTTGGTCACCAACCTCAACGTTGCCAAGTGCTCCGGTGCCCAGGCCGCTTACCTAGAGTGCACCAACTATGCTGTCACTCAGCTCAACCTGCCCAATGTCGCCATGTACCTTGATGGCGGCCACGCGGGTTGGTTAGGAGTAAGTTTTCACCGCGCCACGCTCCATACATGTTCTTCTGACCTAATAAACTTCTCCAGTGGGCTGCAAACTTGGGACCCGCCGCGAACATGTACGCCAAGGTCTACAAAGATGCCGGTAGCCCCAAGGCTCTCCGTGGTATCGTGACCAACGTGGCCAACTACAACGCATGGAGCGTTAGCTCCCCGCCTTCCTACACCTCAGGTAAGTAGTACTCTTCCAGAGCTCAAAGATGTCCCTTACCTGACTGGCCCAGGCAACTCCAACTATGACGAGAAGCACTACGTCGAGGCTCTCCAGCCCCTCCTCGCTGCTCAGGGATGGGACGCTCACTTCATCGTTGACCAAGGCCGCTCTGGTAAGCAGCCCACCGGCCAGTTGGCTTGGGGTGACTGGTGCAATGCCATCGGCACCGGTTTTGGTCTTCGTCCCTCCACCAACACAGGCTCGTCTCTTGTTGATTCCTTTGTCTGGGTGAAGCCCGGTGGTGAGAGTGACGGCACTTCCCTCACTACCGCCACTCGCTACGACTACAACTGCGGCAAGGAGGACGCTCTGAAGCCCGCCCCTGAGGCCGGAACTTGGTTCCAAGCCTACTTCGAGCAGCTCCTCGTAAACGCCAACCCAGCCTTCTAAGTGCTGTTCAATTTCTTCTGCATACATGGCCCCGGGCTGCAGACGTCGCGTTCATATTATCTTCGTGTATATATTTCACCTGCTTAGAAGATGAATCTTATATAAACTGTCGAACCCGCTTGGCTCTCCTGCTCCGTGCTGCTCGGGTAGTCCGTTTTCAACCCGGAAGGACTATGCTTGATGTGTGGATCAACCATCGACCATGGAGAAGAAAGCATCGGAACGCCGTGCCGGTGTCTTTTGGCCCGTCTAGGTCCCGAGGTCTAGGATCGAAACCCTAGGTACCTGATCTGGTTACAAACTTACTTGGCCTGCTAGGAAATATGCCGCTATAAAAAGCTCGCGCCTGAGCGCTTCCCCTCCCTTCTCTTTTCTTATGGTTCTTTCATGATGGCTCGATGCATCGGATTTCCTCTCGAATTACCCCCACTATTCGATTACGCAGGCCGCCAAGCCTATAGAGATGTGGATAGCCCTTCTCTTCGCCCTCCTCTTTACACTTACACTTATTTGGATGTTTGATCGCATTCCTTGGCCTCTCAAGGCCCTCCGCAAGAGACATAAGGAGAAGAAATCTGCAACGAAGAGAAGCATACCGGTAGCCCTTCCATCGGGTTCCGATGCAGAAGCCAAGACACAGGGGTTGTTCGCCGTATGAACCCCAAGAGCTTTCTCCCTATATCTTCTGCATGTTATATTCTGACTCGTTATCTGCGTAAAGGAACAGGATACGATTCTTGGCGGCCAAGAAGCCCAGCAACCCAGCGATATTAGCCTCCCAGAAGCGAGCAGCACGAACGAAGCCGATAATTCGGCCCCGTCTTACGGGGTCGCTAAGCAGTCAATACGGTCCAAAATCCTAATGACAATCAAGACAAAATTGAATGGAAAGGGGAAGAGCAGTGGAGTGCCCTTGGATCCTCGATCCCCTCCCTTTCAACCCTCTACCCCTAGCGGAGGCATGAGGCCTTCATGGCTGAATCCAGGAGAGGATAGAAACTTGACAGACAAGAACCCTTACTCCGCCCGTCTACCGGTTATGACAGTGGATGGGACCGCCATATCGGGCTATTCAACACGACAAAGGTGGCAAGCCCGAGACTTCCACATAAATAACGAATTGCCAACTCAATGGGTGACACCTCGACCTTTCGATCCTACTGCTGTCCAGGCATATCAACCCACACCGGAGAGGCTCGCAAAGACGTTTGATTACAGCCACGGCAGCGCCCCGGACAGGCTTCGAAAGCCATTACCAACACCCCTATTCTCGCCGTACGTACCTCCACCTTGGCTCAGACCTTCCGACAACAACCAGCCAAACGTCTCGATAATCCAGGAGGCTTCGAAAGCCATTACCAACACCCCTATTCTCGCCGTACGTACCTCCACCTTGGCTCAGACCTTCCGACAACAACCAGCCAAACGTCTCGATAATCCAGGAATTCTCGTCTCCTAATCCGTCATGCCAGGAAGAGGAAGAAGTGCTTCGACGCTTCATTAGGTTTGCGACGGGCCGTAGGTGTCCAAGATGCAAGCATGGCGTCGCAATTGAGAGCAGCACCATCTTCCAACACGCCAGTGTCATTCTTCTAGGTCGAAAGACTATCGAATTGGGCAGCCATTATGTTAGATGCTCTTGCGGAATCTCGTACTGTTTCGGCTGCTCCCGAATCGGAGATAGTTTAAGGACGCCATTCGCCAGTTCCAAGTCGACCAAATGGTGCTGCCCACCGGGTCGACTTTTCCACATCTTTGCCCTCCTGTGCGGCCCGACCGCCCATGCTGTGAACCCGCAGGTCTCTATCCTTCAAGACTCCCAAGTGGACTCGATCGAGAAGACCCCAAAAACCGAGAAAAAGTCCGGGTCGAGATTCATGGACTTCCTCAAGACCAGGGATGACCAAGTCACATCCAAAGGAACGGGATACGCGACGGGTAAGCTCGACGGAAAGAAAGAGAAGCCCAACGAACTCGCCTGTATTCGCCGCGAAGACCTTGAGAACAGCATGGCCCGGTTACCCAGGCTTTTTGCCGCGCTTTCGATAGCATGGCCTTCAACTTCCAACTCCTCTCAGTTTGATCGAAATCCTCCACCGTTGTTGATGGTCATGGCTCGCCGAAGCCCGCTGATGATCAGGATGGCAGAGCTTCTCCGGAATGACAGCATGCAAGAGATTATGCGACAAGGAGTTCCATATCAAGCCCTCTTCGATTTCCTTCGCGTGCTCTCAACACACCCTGCTACAGCCCCGCTGGTCTGTGATGTTCGAATCAGCTATCCTCTCGCCCGCACTCTACTCCCGGTCTGCTTCGGATATGGCTCTCTTCCAGTGCTAGACAGGTCGTCTAGCTCCAGTGACAATGAAAAGGGGAAGGGAAAAGCGGTGGAGCTTGAAGGGAAGCAGGATCAGCCTCAAGAAACGCTCAAGTCGTTGATGAGTCTACTTTCTGCCTTGAGAGTCCAGGCGGAATCGGTGAAGCGACTATACAAACCCAGCCCCAGGGGTCTCTCCCAGACGATGGGCATGTGCGACCGTATCTGCGAGATCTCCCAACAACTCGAAGAAGAGAACCCCCAAAAAGACAAGAGGGAAGTGACTGTCGATGAAGGAAGCAACCCTCCCTCTCTGACTTACTCACAATCGACTGTTTCGTCAGTGGCAGAATCACCCACCATTCCCAACGACAAGGAGGAGAGACTCACAACCGCCCGACAATGGCTCATCGAGAACAAGGTACAGGAGATGGATTCCGAAAGATGGCGAAGTGACTTCAAGATTCCCATCCCAGACTCGGAGGCCACCGCCCCCCACCGTATGAAGAGGCTCGTGATGGAGCTCTCCATGCTACGTACCACGCTCCCCGACGGTATCTTTGTTCGCCATGACGACACGCGGTTGGACGCCATGAAGGTCCTCATCGTCGGACCGGAAGGTACGCCGTATGAGAATGGGCTCTTTGAGTTTGATTTGTTCTGCCCTCTCGATTATCCGGAGAGGCCACCCAAGATGGCCTTCAGAACAACGTACAGCCGTCGAAAGTTCAACCCGAACCTGTACCCAGATGGCCAAGGTACGAAAGCCTCCTTTGATATCTCACCTGCATTACATTGTCATAGACCATCGCTGACTCTCTGCCAACAGTCTGCTTCTCCCTCCTCGGCACCTGGACAGGCAGCGCCACCGAGAACTGGGACCCCAAAAAGTCCACACTTCTCCAGCTCCTCGTCTCTATCCAAGCCATGATCTTCAGCCCGGACCCGGTCTGGAACGAACCCAACCAGACCTTCTCCCCGGCAGCCTCGCTGGTTTACAAGACGGAGATGCGCGCCGACACCCTCATCTACGCCATGAGCCACTGGCTCCATCTGCGCAAGAACGCAAACCCGGCCGCCGAGTATAACCTGTGGTTCGAGCTCGTGGCCCGCCACTTTGAGGTGAATTGGCGACGGATCCTCGAGACGGCTGAGATCTGGGCCGCCGAGGACCCGGGAAGCCAGCGCAAGGCCGAGAATGAGGTGGGCATGATCATGAGGGAGAGACGCTCCAAAGAGAGGTTTCCCTGCGGGATCCGGACGCTAAAGGGGCACTTTGCCGAGTGGGCTACTTCCGAGGAGGAGTTGGCTCTCGTGAGGCTTGGTCCCGAGGAGGATGGGCCGATCTATACGCCCGTAGGAATGCCCTTGGGAAATAGGCTTGATCTAGACTTTGACATGTCCCCGCCCATGTCCGGCGATGACGGCGAGGACGAGTCTGATGGAGAGTTTGATGTACCACCAGCGAATAGCCCGCCCAATGTACCGCCGCCGGCGGCATCTCACCCTCAACCGGTATTTCACCCGTTCCTACCTTACATTCCATAATTCCCTCTACTATTCGTGGTCTTTATTCGTATTTGATATGTTTTCGAAGTTGGTGACTTTCACATGGAGACGATTTGGTAGTAATTAAGAGAGGCTGAGCGCTGGTTGGGTTGTTATAGTTGCCAAAGTCAAATTCGGAACTGGCCAGTAACACAGGAGACTCGGTAAAGGAGACTGTCAAATACAGGCTCTTTGTAGGCCGTAGTATGTGCCCTGCTGAGCACCTTTAAATAATACGATACACCCTATACCAGAGATGTGAAGTAGCGTGAATCAATGACCAGATGTTCCCGACCAGCTGAGTGGTTTCACTGTGTTCTTCGTGTGAGGGGTGAAGCCTGGCTTAGCAAAGGAAGGGGGCAAACATGGCAGTAGACTCGACCTGTGTCGGTATCAAGATGTTCAATCACCACGTCAACCTGTTGTTAAGCTTCGAGTCCCTGCCAGGAAGCTCGCCAATGCATCTACGTACGCCGGCAGACCTCACAATTGCCCCGCGCAACCTGCAGCAAACCGTCGGAAAGCCGGGGGGCGCATCTAGGTGCTGCATGGTCCATGGTTCATGGTCCATGCGCAAGCTTGCTGCGGGAGTTTTGGACAACGAGCTTGACCATGACACGCAAATGAATGAGGTTGCATCGCGAACTGCTTTTCAACATTGTCGCTGCAGCCGGTCGAATACCTTGACAGCGATTTACTGATGGACAGCGGAGTATCAAACCCGAACAAGTCGTGGGACGTGCCATGGGGGAATGCTTGTATCGCTAGCTGACCGCCCTTCGTCACGACTCAGTTGACTCGACCCGGGCAGCAGTGCCGGCGACCCAGTCCTGAAGATAACAAGGCGTAAATTCGTCAGGATGATAATATTGAGAGGGATTAATTGGGAAGGAGTTGGGCGCACACAAGCGAAAGTGTTTCGAACTAACAACAAACTTGTTGATGCCCACCAGACACGACACAACGTCGCAAACAAACACGGCTGACGTGCGGCTGGAGATGTTGGCTGCAGGGGTCCATCGAGGCCACTGACAGTGTCCCCGAAGCGATGATACGTAGTACACCTCAAAGTATGGCACTTGTCAAGGCGATGATGGGTGCGATTGCCGTCCGTACAGGAATTCGAGCTTATTCCTCAGTGATAAACCAATGTCGGGCACAAAGAATCATAGCTCGTTGTCGACTCTGATTACTCGCCGACGTTCGAATCCATCAGCATAATAAGCAAAAGCTCCATCGTCTCTCGAAGCTGCTCGCCGACCCGAGCGAGCTTCAGCCCGAACAAGCGCTGACTGTGGATAGGGCTCCCAAGATTCTGTAACCAAACTGCGGGATACCACGTGGAGGAGGGGACTCGGACCGCTTGAGTGGGTGGCCGTTTGTCCCAGCTTCTCAGCGCGTACAGTGTACCGTGGTGGTTGCCCCAGTCAAATATTTGGAGCAACTTCAAGCTCCAGCGATGCCATGACTCGAGTCTCTGGCGTTCGTTCTGGGCCTGTTGGGTAAGCCGCATGCATACAAGTACAGCTTTCCGAGTCGAAAAACCACAAAGCTTCGTATTGATATTCAGTATAAGCATGAAGTCTATATGGAAGTCATGGGACGGGATGGTCCGGAAACGATCTTGATTGGGACCAGCATGCTTAGTGAAACCCGACGATGGAAACCTTCAATCAATCAGGCCGGCCTGGCAGATTGTGATGTCCGAGAACGCTCTACGGCCGAACGATTAGGGAGATGATGAGTGATTGGCAGGCTCCCAAAGGTCAGTCCCAGGGCCTGATTCATGGAAAGTCTGTTGGGTGACTATCGCGATTCGTTGGAAACATATTTCGAGATGAAGCTTTGGAAAGACCAAGATACTGCAAAGTCAAATCCTCCACGGCAGGCAACAGTCGACGACGGCAGCTATATGGTTGGCCACATTGTTGATAGGAACGTGTCGTCCGTTGAAAATCCATGTGGTCCACGAGTTCCAGGTGAAGTTTAGCGGCCAGGTATGGGTGCGTCTGCCACGTGCGGTGCATGCAGCAGCAAGGTACAAGTCGATGGAGGACGGGGGATGAGGGGAAACAGCCATTGGCGTGTTTGGTCAGGCCAGAGTCGCATCGAAAGTGGTCTGAGAAGTTGAGTCTAGTGGTGATGATGGCGCGAGAGGGTGGCCAATATGAAAACGATACCTAGCCCATCTGAATCTCTGAGACGAGGCCCTCGTGTGCCACGGTGTGCCTACATCTCAGACAATGATTACCATTCCCGTGCAGTAGGCAGGTCGAGAAACACGAGGGCATCGATCATAGTATGATGGAACTGCCGGAGGTGGCTGGTCTCGCAAGATGCCGATCGACAGGATTCAAGTCTAACAAGCGTAATCGCCATTATTTGACCGTTTTCAATCATGCCTTGTGGTCATGGAGCTCGTCGGTCCCGAAGCCAAGCCATCATGAGCGCCATGTACAAGATGGAGACCCCGCTTGTGAGGAGCTAAGCTTGGTGCCCGAGGGCGCTGACGTTGGCGGCACTAATACGGTGTCACACAGTCGACGGAGCCGGGAGTACTGCTCAGTCTGTTTGTAGGTATCCGTAATTATCCTCCGAACTTGTAGCCCCAAGGCGCGAGGGTGATGATACCCATGACAGGACTTTGACGAGGGTTCTCAGGGTCTTTGGGCCTGTCCGGGCCAAGAGGATCGGCATTGACTTCAAACACGAAAGTGGACGAGGGCGAAGAGGAACTTGGGAACGACTAGGCCGAATCGAAAAACAATCGCAACATCAAAAGCCACCGGCTGTTTGACAGTGGCCGAGACATGACAGGCTGGCTGGTGGTTGGCTGAGCCTGCACGTACGGCCGGCGGTGTCAGTCAGTGGGCGTCAGTTCGTACGATTCAGCCGGTAGCTCGAAGCCAAATTCTCGCAATTTAAAATCATGGCCCAACTTTCTGGTGAGAGAGAGTTGCTGCTTAGTTCTGTCACTAGACGGATGCGATGCCGATTTCGTGTTCCAAGGACTCTGGGCGTAGGTAGGCCATTCGCGGGCCCGACTTGAGGGGGAGGCCCGAACTCAATCGATGCAGTAAGCGACACGTGGAATTGGCGATGCGTTCCTGGACAAGTGCCTTTGAGGTGCTCAAGTTCCTTGTCATGGTGAGGTCAAGTGGGTGTGAGGTCGAGGGGGCAGCCGAGGCGGAGTCTGGAGAGTGCGGGATTGAATTGCCTGTTGTCGGTTTAATGGTTGTTCGGAGGGGCTCTCGGGCCCCTTGGAAAGCCCTTCAAAAGGTTGGAACTAAAGGCTGCTTGCAACGCGAAAAGAGGTGTGACGGACGGACGGACCGTAATCGTTGCTGTGTGAGTGTTCACGGTTGGACCGCGACTGTTAGACGCGTGGTGATCGGCTCGAGTGGGCAGCGTTTTGCCGTTTGGTTTCTCGTTCGAAATCGGTAGTCACGATCCCTGTGCATCTGGCCCCTTTCCTCCCAGACTCGAGTTAATCATATTCGCCTGAGCGGCACCTCTAGCAAGCCTCCCTGTGCGCCAGTGTATTGTGGCTCCGTACCCCTGTGGGAATTCCACGGCTTCGTGGACGGTGAACAAGACTCGGCCGTTGGCCAGTAGGCTGCTTGCAGGTTGAGGAGGCGAAGAAGTTTGGTAAGTCGGGTAGAGCGGTGGTTTGATAAAGCATGGGATAAAGCATGGGACGTGGTGAAGGTATGGTACCGGTAGAAGACTTGAAGGCGGCGGCGAGGGCGGCTGGTTTTGGCAAGCGAGTTGACTGTATTCTGTCGGGGTTTCTTTGATTGGCACACATGTTTCTTCAGCTGTTGGCCTGCAGGTCGACGCATGCGGTCGAAAAGAGAGGACTGGTGGTCAAGTCAGACTGGTGGGAGGGAGGCGACGACGACAACCCAAGGGCCAAGGCAAGACGAGGCCAAGGATCCAGACAATGGGCGATTTTTCTTCGGAATAATGCAGAGATTGAACCGGGGGAGGCCTTGAACAGTCTGTGCCGTGCCGACGCCGGGTTGACCCTGGAGGGAAGCGGGATGTTTCTGCATTGCATGGGATGTGGGATTGGGATTTCTCCCGATGCTGTCTGGTTTGAACTCAAGGTTTGTGGGCGAGATGGAAGAAACAAGAGATCCGACGTGAAAAGAAGGGACGGCAACCATTGCAGTACTGTGTACCTACTTACTTTGAGGCAAGGTAGGTAGGTAGGTAGGTAGGTACCACGGAGGCCACGGAGACGGGAGAGGAAAGTGCAGCATTTTTAGGTTGAACTTGGTGTGTCATGATGAGGGAAGGAACCTAGCCTGGGCCTGCCATGGTTTACCTCTCTCCCGGTCATGTCATTGTTCGCGTTGTATTACCTACCTAAAGGTAGGTAGTGAGAGTGAGACTGATACTGAGCGTGAGATCAAGAATGAGACTCAGAGTAAGCTGAGACACGCCTCAACTGCTCTGTACCACATGAACTGTTAAAAAGGATGCAGCAAGTCACCTCATCTACCGGTGATCTTGTCACGCCTACTGGTACCCGCACATTAGGTATTTTGCATTTCAATGTGTACGGAGATCCGTTTTGCATCGAGGTAATCACTCTGTAGAATTAGATGACCGGAGCACCAAGCTATTCGCAGGCTCAACCTGGTTGACTGATTTCGGTACGCTGGAAACATGACACTCTCATATGTGTTGTCTTATGCACAGCTCAAGACCTCTGACTCTTCTGCGGCCCGTGTAAACATGATTCGGAAGATGCCATGAAGGGGTGCGCCCCGGAGAGCGTCTTGTCTTGCAGAGAGGCGTTGAATGATAGACCACGGATATTATACCAATCTAGTAGATGAGTGCCGCAATGCAAGTATGAGCGAAGCTGCAGCGCTTATTGTGATGCGATGTGATGCGATGCGATGTGATGTGATGCTCTCATGTCCAGCTACTGCGTATCTATTTCGCAGAGAGACGTATCTGTCTGCATCTCTCTCTCTCGCAGACTCGCAGTCGCGGTGCACGTCTCACGTTGTTGATCGGGCAAAACGGCCATGAGAGACATGGATTGGCCCTGCTGTCAGGCTCACTCAACACCCCTCGCCGTGCCTGAGAGTGGGGGAATGCATGAGAGAGGTCAATGTTCATTCGTTGGTGGAGGAGGGCCGACCCCCTTGTCGCTTCCTCCCCTTCCTGATGACCTGATCCCTGTTCTGCACATGGCTGCTTCCTCCTTTCTGCTTAGCCCATCTCAAGTGACAGTAGCGCAGGTGCTTCTGCTGCAGGTGCAAGTCGGAAGTCCAGCATTCTTTCCTCCAGTAATCCGTACGTACCTATCTATCTATCTGTAGACCGTCAACCTGAAGCAGTCACAAGTGCCATTCTCCTTCCTATTGATGGTGACTTTCTGCCGTGCTTTCCACCTAATCGCTTTGGGGTGAAGGCGCCCCTTCTCAAATACCTACCCACCTGAGTAGGTACCTAGACGCTGCCTCCCTCTTTGGCCCCCTTTTCAAGGTACCTGTGTCATGTACCATCTCCGTGCCTGCCTCTACCTTACCTTATCAACCTGACATCCGACGATCATCACCTCGAATCATTGCGCACCTGGAGTCTCGGAGGGAAAGCGCAGGGAGTACGCATCTACTTGCCGTGCTTTCCAGGTGCCGGGCACGGAGCCTGAGGGGGATGGGAATGAACACCTCAGTTAGGCCAGGAGAGAAAGAGATACCTAAGGTACCTACATTACCGTACGTACTCCTGTCAGGTACCTCCAGCTGCGTACTAAAATGTGAGAGGTGAGAGGCAAGGAGAGAAAGTGTGCCTGGCCTGGCCTGGCCCGCCTGCCCGCCTTCTCCAGGTGGCCTTGCTTAGCGCGTCCCAGGCTCCGTCCACTCCCGGCCTCCGTCTCTCAGTCCAGTCCCAAACCCCCAGGTCGGGCAGGCGCACTACGCCGTACAGGATCCTGTCCAGGAGAAGACGTGGAAAGTGCAAAGGGCAGCAAGAAAAAAAAGGCAGGCGCAGATCCACAGCAGTGTGCCTGCCTGATATTATTTCCGTGCTCCCCTCCTGCCGCGACTTCCCAATCTGCATCTGGACCCGTCCTCCGTCCTCCGTTCTCCTCTTCGTCTTCCCTCCTCCCAATTAACCCAGTCCCTCCTCCGTCATCAATCAACCACTCGCTCCCTTTTTCTGCTTTTTTTCTGGACCACCGCAAAGGTTCAACGTCCACGATACTACCTCAAGGCTCAATCCCCCCGGTGCAGACCCATCGATCGTCCCCCCCGACCGACAAGTTCGCCTCCATCTCGCCTCCGTGTAGACAACTTCGCTCCTCTCGAGACACCAGCCCGCCAACCAAGGACCTAGCACAAGCCTGCAGGTCCCTGATTTTCCGCAATCTTGCTCTTCCAGTGACCTCACAGAGCTCGCCAAACTTGACTTGCAACGGCTGTTCCATTCAATCTTTTGACGCCAACGGTCCAACCCACACGCGCCCACACGCATACCCCCGAAGCGAACGGAGAACGCACCAAGGAACGACAGAAGTCGCTCACGTCCGCCCTCACCTTCACGGTTCACGGCCACGTCCACCGGAGACCGCTCCCTTCCTACCGCGCCCTCTGCCGCTGCCGCTGCCGCAAAGAGCACCGTGTCCAGCAGCAGTCCTGCACCTCACTGCAGTCATACAATCTACCAAAAATCAAATCCAGTGCCAATTCCCTTTCGCCCTGTTCGGCTCGCCTGCTTGCCTGGTCCGACAGTCGTGAAGCAAGCCCCGGCCTGTGGAAACTCGAACCATAGTTGAGACTGGACGGCCACATCGACACGAACCTTTTTTACGCAGGGATCTCGCCAAACCCAAAAAAACAATCAACACAATGCCTACCTCGCTCGATTCTTCTCGTCCCATCATGGCTCCCTCTGTACGTTTGTTTCTCTCCTGATGTTGCCTTTTTCGCCCTAACTGCCCTACCTGCATCTGTCTTGCGTCTGTTCTCACCTGCTTCGCCTCGCTCGCAACCGCCCCTGTGCCCTTTTTCGCACTTGGACGCCGCAAATCCCGGTCCTCCCCCCCAAGCTACCCACCTATCCGATCTTGTTTGCCTTTTGACCCGTTCCTGTCCAATCCTATTACTACCTACCTTTCGCCGACCCTCTTTCATTCACTTGAATCCTCCATCTGTGCCGTCCTCTTCAACCAAAGATCAAAATGACCGCCGTACTAACAGAAACCCCCCCTCAGGTGCGTACCTCTGTGCGATACAGCACGTATAGCATGGCGCCCTCATTTGCCAACACCATTCAGACAAACGATTCGGCTCACGCCGAGATCACCGACATCGCTGTTGGCCTCGACCGTATGGAGAACAAGGCTCTCAGCTCGCAAAGAGTCACTCTGAGCGAGGAGAAGAGCGCAAACCTGAGCAAGCTAGCTCTCGGTGCCAAGTTGGAACGCGCGCTGGACAGGAGAATGAGCAGCCAGGATGCCGTCATGCGTCCGCGCGGCAAGACCTTGAACGAGAAGCCTGCTCAGGCTGCGTAGGAGACTGTCGAGCAATCTTTGACCTCGAAAAAATGGCCGTGGCAGGCCATGTTTACCGCACAACCCAAACAAACACAACAATCGGAACCAGGCCGTCACGGGTCATCTGCCACACGTACACGGAACGGCAGAAGTGGAATCCGCACCTGATGCTGTCCGGCTAGATAGCTCGCTGTAGTCGCGGGCTCCGTCGTGCAACATTGCCCACGACGAGACGCGGCAGACGATACACCTCTGAGTGGACATACGGAGGGACAATGGATATGGGATTTGGGCTAAGACTTGGGAATGGGGCCATCGTGGAAACAAACAAGTTGTGAAGAGTGATTTTGGTTTGTTGGGATATCCAGAGGATGACTGGAGCGCCAACGACGCAATGATGGCATCCCATGCATAGTGTTTAAATGGTTTATTGCGATGCTCCGGCTGCGTTACATATCTCCTACTCCGAGAAGCATTACTCGCTCAGTCTATATCAAGAGACTTGGGGTCATGGCATGGGGGGTTCCTATGACGAAACTGGGACGTTTAGGTAGTGGTACCTATGGTATACTAGAAATGTTCAATGACCCAATCCACCCACATGCTCTCTGATTTCCAATCTGATATGTTTGTTCGGCGCGAGTGTCGCAAATGATGGATGCCGCATTGCTGACAAAGTTTGTAGTGGCTAATAACAAACAAGCCTGTATCAAAGTACAAGACAACCTGCGCCAAAGAACAATCACAAATTCCTAGGGAGTCTTCAAGCCGCCAAACCATTGCGTCTACCCGGCCTTTCCAACTCCATGCGCGAGGCGGCTCTCTCATGGGTATTATGCGCTGCCAAGACAGGCCCGAGACTGCTTGGCCAGGTTCTCAGCCCCTCGCTCCCCCATCACCCGTTCTAGAACTACACGCTGCCATACCCATATATCTGTGTATGAGAATTCTTGAGTGCTTCGAGTGGAATGGCTCTTTACTTCCTCGGCGCTCGTATAGAACATAGTACCCCCTTTTGGATAGAAACCATACGCCTTTTTCCAGACTTACGCCTTCTCCAAACGGGCCTCAATCTCCTTGTATTGCGCAACGAGCTCGCCCTCCTCGCCCTCGTACTCGAGAGCCTTGCCAACCCACTCCCTCGCCTCCTCCAACCTGCCCATCTCCATCAGACACTTTCCACGGCGCCACCACGCCTTTGCGTTGCCGACCTTGCGCGCCTCGACGCTGGCCTCGGCGTCGACAGACCCCTCTGCCCACTGCTGCAGCGCCATGTGCGCCTGCGCCCTGTTGGCGTACAGACCCGAGACCTCTTCGCGGACGAGCTGGGAGGGTTCCCAGAGCGGACGGGTGAGGGCCATTTGCAGGCCCAGAGTGTAAAACTTGATGGCGTCGCCGTACTTTTTCTTGTGGAACTCTGCATTGCCGCTGTCGCGGAGCTTGGCGACCTGGGCAGAGCGCTTGGGGTTCACGGGCATGGGCGGCGGGGGCACGCCGTGCTGGGTTGTTGTGTCGGAGGTGATGAGGGAGCGGTGGAGGGCGTTTAGTTGGGAGAGCTCGGCGGCGAGGGCGCGCGAGGAGGAGGTTGAGGAGAGAGATTTGGATTGGGGGTCTAGTTGGAGGGGGAGGAGGTCGAAGTGCGTGAGCTCTGTCATGTTGGGCGGTAGTTGTGTGGTTGTGTGGATGTGGTAATGTTGTGTTGGTTTGTGTTTGTCGTGCGATTCGTAGAGTCGCGCGGGCTCGTTAGTGGTGCCTGTGGTACTGGGAGTATCTGGGTGACCGCGTCCGGGTATCGTAAAGTCGTGGGGAGTGACGGGTGTGAAGAGGGCTGCGATCGCGAATGAGGTGTTGTTGCGAAGGTTGCTTCGAGGTAGTGGTTTATTGCCAGCTGTCGATCCGGGGGTCCAAGGTGGCCGGCCGACGCTTTGGCACATGGATTTAGAGGACACTTCTCTGGAGGTCGTCCTTATCGGGTCCGGGCGCGCCATCACGTGCTGATAGCATAAGGCAAGGTGAGGTGGGTCTACCTTGATGACCAAGGCCCACCTTTTTCACCTTGCTCACCTTGATTCTCAGTAACAAGAACACCGAGGATTTGGGACTGTCTCTCTCGGTCGAGAAGCTGTCTTCCGTTTCGTCTCCTGGCTTACTCATGGTTGAAGTCGACTTTGGCTGTGTTTGTGGGCAAATTACAGTTGTTCCTGGTCTGGGGTCCATCCCAGACCGAGAGTTCTGAGTTCCTCGGGGAGCTTTGCGGTCACCTCCATTCTGCCTGGCAGCATTTATAAAAATTATTCTTTTTTTTTCGCGTTCTGGGTATCTTTGATGTTGAATGAAACCGTTTTACCTTCCATGTTGAAAGAAAGTTCGTGATGATGGATCCAGATGGGCCATCGAGCTCACCAGCTCCCCCTTTCCTTGCCCCTTTCCCCCTTCCAGTCCTCCAGTCTAGCCAAGGCTCGCTATCGAACTTCTCTAATCATCCCTGTAAGACTGGCCTTAGATCTTGACATTTCTAGGCATAGTAGGACGTGTTCAGGCCCTTCTCAACCGCCGCAATCTGCAACGCCAGCGGCAACGAGAACTGTCGACACATCATGAAGCTGCCAGTCATGTACCAGAAACCAGGCACTCCAGTGGCTCGCCACCACTACACAATAGTCAGCACAAATCTTCCAAGCATTCATATAAGTAAACTTACACCTGAGCGTTCCTGCTCGGCATCCAAGTTTGCGAACCCATTTAGCCTCTGAGCAACATTCGTCCCAAGCAGTTTCTCGACTGTAGCGATGTTCTGCTCGAAACCCGTCGCGAGCACCACCACATCCGCTTCGAGCTTCGTGCCGTTTGCCAAGACCAGGCCATCCGCTTGAAACTCTCGGATGCCTTCCTCGCACCTCTGGATCCGAATTTTGCCGTCGATGATCATCTGGTTCGCCCCCTGGTCGATGTAATACTGCCCGCCCTTGATGAGCTGGTAGTCCGCCAACCCATACCCGTCTTCGCCTTCCTTAATCACCAATCCAGCCTTCTTCAACCCATCGTGCACCGTCTTGTCATTCTTGGCCATCGCCTGCGTCAACCCGATGCTCATTCTGCGTATCAGTGCCAGCGGGATTGCATTGCCCACAATGTCTGCTTCCTCAGTACTCAGACCTGGAATTGTCCAAAGCGAGAGCATGAAGTTCTCCCACGACTCGCGCGAGATGGAAAAGATTGGATGCCGCTGGACCATCGTCACCTCCTTGGCTCCATGCGTGACAAAGTCGGCCGAGATATCGTGGCCGCTGGTGGCACAGCCAACGACGACAACCTTCTTGTTCGTTACATCGGGGATCTTGGCAGCAGTCTTATGGTACTTCGAGTGATAGATTTGCCCCTTGAAGCTATCTTGCCCTGGGAATTGAGGGATTTGGGGCTGGTCGCCGTACACGCCCGTGGCCAAGACCACATGCCGCGCCGACAACGTCCGTGTTCCCTCAGGCGTGCGAACCTCGACATGATATCTCTTCTTCTGTTCATCATATGTAGCCTCTGTGACTTCCGTGTTGAAGGCGATGTCGAGTCCCATCAGCTGGCCGTAGTGCTCCATGAACTCGGCAACTTTGTCGCCCGTCAGGAACCGCGGCCAGGTCTCGGGGATCTTCATGAACGCCCAGTGATCGGTGTAGGTCGGCGTATGCAGCGTGACGCTTTGGTATCGTTCTCTCCAAGAGTCACCAAGGCGTGCGCTGCGTTCTACGAGGCGGGTTTTGATGCCCATGTGTTGGAGGCGTGCGCCGAGCATCAGGCCGGCTTGGGCTGTTTGGAGTGTCTTGTGTTAGCGAGAGAAGAATATGGAAAGCTGCGCAAGGAGACTGACCTGCGCCGACAATCAGAACCTGCAGGTCTTCCTCGGGCTCTGCGTGTGTGTGTCCATTGATGCCGTTGACCCCGTTGACACCATTCGTGACGGGCGTCTTTGGCGTCGGAACCGAAGCCGCGTGCCGTGCCTCGACTTCCTTCTGGAAATCGAGTTTCTCCAATTGCGTAAAGACAGTCCATGCCTTCCACTCGTCTTTGCTAGTGTTGCCCAGCTTGAGCAACCCCTTTCCTTCGCCATGCGGCGTCCTGAAGGTGAAGCCAGTTTGGATCCAGACCATGCCGTCAAAGTCGAGGAGCAATGGCTTCAGCCCGCCAAGCTTGTTTGTCTGCAGCTCAGACAGACCATGGCTTGCTGAGGCCAGGTACTTTTTGATGTTGTCTTGACCTTGCTTGCAGGCGAAATCCCATGAAAGACCGACGATGTCTCTCCACCAGCAGTCGTCGATGAACAAGTCAGAGATGTCGCTGAAAGACTTTTCGGCAAACCGCTTCTCAAGTTTAGAGAGCCATTCACTAGAAATCTTTTCCGCGTCGACTTCGTCCTTCTTAACGCCTTCTTGTAAGGTCAAGGCCGGGATTTCGGGGAGCTTGAAGCCGTCCATTTTGTGAATTCTGCAGTGTCAAATACCGAATATCGAACAGCTTAGCGACTTGATTGACATCGACGGGATCGTATCGAATGGCTCGGGAAAAGAGAAATCAAGGCTAAAAGCCCGTGTAAGTCAGATTTGGTAGGGAAGGACAGGGGTCTGGGAGAATTTACTCGTGATCTCCAAACATCGGGGAGATAGCGTCAGATAGCGTACCCGTCATCCATCAACCCACTTGGCAAGTTCCCATCTCACCCACCATACCCCAAAATGTCAATAGGCAACCACTCAAATCGAGATGCGAAACGATTTCGTCCTCTTTTGTTCGGACCATCCCCACGAGTGGACCTTGGCAAGGTGTCATTGGGGTTCCCCATCTCTGTAACCTTACATTATTGCCAAGAAAGCCTGTTGCTGAAGATGACCGTACAACAGGCTGTTTTTACTCTTTTAGCTTTGAAGGAATGATGAAATTGATGGATTAGATCATCTTATCTGATCATACCCCACCTTTCTATTCGCGCAGATCGACATTGTCGTTCCAATCACGGCACGGTGAGCTGCTTCGGCTGGGGTGGGAGCAATAACATGCACGAAGTGAAACCCGCGAATGTGACAATATGCGCGGGAACCGCTGTGGGATTTCACCCTAACTAAGTTTCCAAGTGGGATGAATACGAGGTCTAACGGACCTTTAACGAGGGGCTTTTGTCGCTAAAACAGCACGTTAGCCAAGATGAAAAAATTGCGATGTTGCATGATGATTAAGAAGCTACCGTATTACTTGAAGGATCCATCCTGGTCAAAGTCAACCACGGACCGGACCACGTGCGATCTTTCTTCTTTGAAATACTTTAGCAGCATCATCCAAAGTTCGGGTCCTGTATAACATCAGATTTCAATCAATTACTTCATGGGAAACCTCCCAGTGCTTATGTTACACCCTCATCATCCAGTAGACGGGTTCGCTTGCTAGTGCCAAGCTCAACGTCAGCACCGCGTTCCGCGGCATCCAAGCCTCGGGCCACAATTCCGAGGAGATCAAGCATTGCTTGGCTCTTTGATCCACCAGCCCTAAAGAATGGGTCTGTCGGCAGCTTGCCGGCGCGTGGACAATCCAGAAAAGTACGGATGTCCAAGATGAGCGACACCCATATTTTGGCAAATACACATGTTTAGATTCTTGAATGCAAAAGATCAAGATTTGGCTCTGGATTTTCTCAAAGTTCGTAGACAGTCTTGGTATTTGGGACCATGATCTACGTGAGATTAGGACGTATCAAGAAGCAAAGTATTTCAAAATCTGGGTTCTAGGGTCCGAAGTACTTCTTGCAGAATTAAAACGGTCAGTGGCTGGACAACATCACCTAACCATGCTTGGTGATGAACAAAAAAGCCAATAAGTACGCCAATACGCAACTCTGAGAGCAACATATGGGAACAGCAGAGACCTAATGACAAAAACTCCCCTTTCACAGCTTCGTACTTCGGTGTATGAACAGTCTTATCATGGACTTGAAACGCGAACCAAGTCCAAGTCAAGTCCAGTCCCGTCTAGAAGGAAAGGGTGTAAAGCTTCTCCGGTGTAGGAACTTTCCTGCTGACAGTTGAAGAACCACTGCATACGAGCTATCAATCTAGTAGCTCATACTACCCTCTATGAAGGAAAATCAAGGTTGCCATGCAACATTCATTCATTGGTGATGTTACGGGCTAGTCCGTCCTGACTACCCGAGCATGTTAAGTGACCAACTAAGCTGCGAGTCGGACATTTTCACTTAAGCTTACTTATCTGCCTCTTGATTAAGGCTGGGCTTCCTGGGGAGCAGGTGTACTGGTTGTCACCCTTGCGACCTTGCGCAGCCCATATGCTTGAGCTAGTCCTTCACAGCCGGGCACCCAGTATGCTGCATCCACAATATGATACTTGCGATGTTCTTCGTATAACTTCGAAGGTGCGTATTAGTACAAGTTGGTGTCATGTTCAGGAGTTTCAGGCTCATCGTGCGTAAAGAGAATATACCTACCTCGGACAAAGTACGTTTCATCCATTTGTGCCATGATTTTCTCTTCGGAACGCTGCTGCTTATCGGAATCTAGCAGATGGAATTTACAGCCCTTATTTCAACTGCGAGAGTTGTTCCATCACATCAAGAGACTGTCATCAAAGTCCTTCCCGTCACAGGTGCAACACTCGCCACCCACTTCTTCCGACCTCGATAGCTCAGCTCTACGTTCTACCTCGGTAAGCTCGCCACAAGTGAGAGCCTCATACATACTTATAACTTGGTTTGATTATCCATCTCACGCTCAGTTTGTTCTCCGTTTCGCGGACTTTCCCATAATTCGAGCTGAAAGAACAAAGAACAAAACCCCTCTTTCCCCAATTTAGATGCACTCTTACTGCTCTGTCATACTTGCGCAAAACTTCGCATTATTCAATCCCCCAATTGTTCCACTAGCCCATTTTCAATTTATAACGGAAACTAATTATTATCTGCTATCATGACTTCAGTGAAGTGGGTGGCCTCGATGTCCGAGAAAATGCGAATAGATTCAAAGGGCAAGTTGAGGCTCGGAGAATCGCTAGCGTCGGATTAGAGCTAGGACGAATCAACTCGCGTTGGCTGCACCGTTTTGGCGTGTTTAACTGGGGCTTTCCGGCTCGACATTCCATGCCCGCTTCGACCTTCGTTTTACTGACACCGTCTCGACCTTCCATCCCAACAGTCGAGCGAGCATACGAGACTCTCGCGATGAAGAATGGATAGGCCAAAAGGAAAAGGGATATAAACTCATTCTTAAAGATATCGAACTCTGTATCGTGATTTACCCTTCATGTACTGTTTCTTTGCTCAACTAGTCGGGACCTGTTAAGTCATCCTAAGCCTCTACCAGCGTGCAAGTCTCTTACAAGACACTAAGCAATATGGAGGCCGTACAAACCCTTAACATCACTGAAGCGACAATAAGTCAATTACAGGATGCGCTGATCAAAGCTCAAATCTCCAGCGTAGACCTTGTCGCGCGCTTCCTCCATCGAATCGGCAAACTCGATCACCGCGGGCCAGCATTCAACTCCGTTTGCATCATCAACCCCAAAGTCTTCGATGAGGCACAGGCCTCGGACGCTTACCGCGCATCAGGTCGTTCTCCAAGGCCTCTGGAAGGAATTCCGTTTACCGTGAAAGACAGCTACAAGGTAGAGGGTCTCACAGTTGCAGCTGCGTCCCCAGCCTTTGAGAGCCTCGTTGCGTCTTCAGATGCAGCGGTCGTCGAGCTACTGAGGGCTGCAGGAGCAGTACTGATTGGGAAGACTACAATGCCTCCCATGGCCGATGGAGGAAGCCAGCGAGGCCTCTACGGCCGTTCAATCAGCCCTTACAACCCCGAGTACTTGTGCACCAGCTTCGCGTCAGGCTCTTCATACGGATCCGCCGTATCCACGACATGCTCGTTCGCCCCTATTGGTCTCGGTGGTGAGACAGTCTCATCTGGTAGAGCGCCGGCTTCGCACAACGCGCTGGTGGGGTACTCGCCGTCAAGAGGCGTCATTCCTTCTCGCGGCCATTGGCCGTTGTACCCGACGTGTGATGTTGTCGCACCACACACCAAGTCTGTCGCTGACATGCTGGCGCTTCTGAACGCCATTGTTGCCGACGATGCACACCCCAGAGGTGACTTTTGGCGCGAGCAGACGGTTGTGCCCATACCACCCAGCTCCAAAATCCGGTCAAGGGATTTTTCATCTCTCAAAGATCCGGAGGCGTTGCGAGGGAAGCATGTTGCTGTCCCCAAGTGCTACATCGGGAAACAGACTTCATCCGGATACTCTGTGGTCTGTTCAGAAGCCACTCGGCAGTTATGGGAACAAGCTCGAGTTGACCTTGAGACGCTAGGTGCTAAAATCACCGAAACTGATTTTCCTCTGGTCGAGCGTTACTCGACTCAGCTCTTCCTTGGGCAAGCTGCCAATGTGCCCGGCATCCCGAGTGCCTGGATTGATATTGAGCGGTGTCAGATGATTGCTACCGCTTGGGATGACTTTCTGCGCAACAACAGCGATCCCGAGTGCCCTTCTCTGGAAGGCGTTGACTATAGCCAGATCAACCCCGACTTTGCGCCGTTGGATGATCGGTCGGAGCACACCGAACAGCAGAATCATGTCCGGTACGCAGAGATGATTGAATTCATCCGCAACCGGCCCGACTCCATCTACGATCTGCCAGGTTGCGCGGATGCGTTGATCGCGCTTGAGGAGGCTCGTAAGAGAGACTTGGAACACTGGATGGACGAGAATGGCTTCGATGTTGTCGTCTTTCCCACAAATGGCGACGTCGGAAGAGCCGATTCCGAGGACAATCGTGAGTCTATGGCATATTCTTTACGAGACGGGCTGAAGTACTCCAATGGCAATCGTGCAATGAAGCACTTGGGTGTGCCCGCCATCACTGTGCCGATGGGATCGCTGTCTGACAAGAAAATACCTGTGGGGTTGACATTTGCGGGCAAGGCCTGGAGTGACAGCGACCTGTTGCGTTATGCGTATGCGTTTGAGTCCTCAAAGAAGCGAAGAGAGAGCCCCTCGTTGGCGCCTCAGCTGGACACGGACCTGATTCAAGTCAACACGAATCAAGGTCCTGTTGAGCAGCATAGGAAGCTGGACTTGATCGTCTCTTGTGTGGACGTAGAAGAGGATACTTCGACGGAGACCTTGGAAAGACGTCACGTCGCTCTCAGTGGGTTTTTGGAAGTCGATAATTCGTCTGAGGCAGCATCGATGCAAGTCTTTGTTAACGGGGATCGGAGGAGGTCTCCCACACTCAAGCATGGCCAATGGGGATGGTCTGGAATACTGGAACGGGATATTATAAAGGAGAGATACCCAGTTCAGGGCAAGGTTGCTAGAGATCAGTTCATGGTTGTGGTGCTAGCGCAAACTTCAGGTGGCGCCTCAAAGGGTCGCTTGGTCATGATCGATTGAGAATTCGCAAAAGTAATAAGAATCAAACGATAGAACATAGAATCCCTATCTCGAAGTTGCTTGAAATGCAGGTTCTTCAGCTTGTGCGATGAGTGAAGTCAATGCGACTCACATATGATCAATACCTTCAGTCGATGCCCGCGTACTTGCAACTCGTTGTTACAGACCCGCCATTTGCTCAAGTCGCAGCAATGCCTACTGACCCAGGTAGTACTTCTCGCACTTGCTCAGTTGAACACGGTGTCGGAACATTTGTTGCAACAAGGGGTCCAACAACAACTCGATGAATTTGGAATGCTTATTGCTCAAGCCTCAGGTGTTGGGGCAATCGCAAGTTTCTGCAGATAATTGAGCTTCTCACGTCGGATCTCAGTTCCTTAGCTGGGCTCCATTCGTTTAAGCTTAGTTAGCCCCGGTTGTTAATCTTCCTCTTGTTTGCGTGTTACCGAGAGTTTTACCGAACAAGAGTGCCGAAGGGTAAGTAGCTGTTGGTTTATTCAGTGGTCCGTCTGTGTGGTGCAGAAGTTTGTTTCAATGAGACTTTTGTTGGTCGAGCCGCCGGCCCGTCCGTTTGCAGCAGCCAGGCGGACTTCAGGACCCATGAGTGATTTCTCTATGGATGACTCAGAAATAGCGGCATTGGAAATCCCTCAGGATGTCCGTTGAGAGGAAGAACAATTTACCCAGGCAAAGAGCCCTTAACAATTATGACTAAGCCCATGGTGAGGTGCCAACAACTGCCGAAGTCGCACAACATGGCGCTGACAGAAGTCAGCAGCGGAGGATTCTCCGTGCATGTGCGGTGATGGAAATATCATGAGATGGAAACGGCCTAGACCTCCTCCAAGTACTTCTTGGACCTCGGAAAAGTGCCGGGATCGGGCAAGGTACGGACATAAATCGCTCAGAAAGAAGATTCTTTCGGACCTATTGGGATGTAGGAAAGGGAAAAAAAATCTGACAGTTGCACTTTACAAAGCATTGTCCGGAGAGAAAGAAAGAAAGAAAGCAAAAGAGCCTGCATTCCAGCCGGTTGCGTGCCACTTCGCCGCCGTCGCGGTGAGCCGCGGTGAGGCATTTCCTTTACGTCAAAAGAAGTAGCCTCTAACAATTTCCAATCCGTCTGCTCACAAAACCAAGTTTCTCATTGGCAAAAGACGTAAACCCCGCTAGATTGGTACAAGCTGCAAGCACTTCTGGCTAGAACTCTCAACACACGTCTTGGTCGTCTTACCCCTCCATCCGTTGTTCGACATGACGCCAACTGGCCGTCACGTACCCGTCAAGTCCCGCCCGGTTGCCAACGCGGAGAAGGTGTTGGCGAGTTGGCAAAGCGGACACGCCCGCCAACTGGCTCCAACTTTGTGTGCCCGGTGATCCATACTTTCGGGGCAAGTGGAAGAGCGTGTTGGAGACCCGTGAGACTTGTCCGTGACTTTGTGACTTGTTGGAGGAGTTCTTGAAAAACCGAAACGGCACAGCAAAAAGCAAAAAGCTGGCTCGGGTATTGGAGCCTTGTGGGACCATTTTGTGAAAAACTAGCACCGTAGCACAATCCGCCCTGTCGATCGCTGCACACTACGCATGTCGTGGGCTCGTGGTTTGTTTCTAGGTTGGAATCCCCATCTTCCGACTGGCCAGAAGCAGACTCCGGTCCTTGCGGGTGACCCGTCCGCGCCTCCGCGCCGAGTCAAGCGTCAGGGCTGGAACCGCGTGGCGGCGGGTTCCCTTCCCTCTCGAACCAGTCAAGCCTGCTCGGTTTCTTTTTACCCTTCCGTTCGGCAGTAGGTACGCCCAGGTTCCCGTACGTTGCGTTGCGCTGCGTTGTACTGTACCTGCATCCGCCGTCATCTCAAAGGCCATCCTTCTCAGCCCTTGGGCCTTGGCCGCCGAGGCCACCCCCTCTTTCAATGTTCCCTCGAGGCTCCAAGAGGCACAGCGCCCACAACTCCCGTGCTGGCATGAGATGTGGCCGACGCCTTGCCGATGTACCGCCCCTTGGCTCCCTTCTACTTGGGAGTCGGGACCTGAACTATGGATTAGCACGAGCCAAAGAGCGTTTGGTTCCTGAGCCGTTCCTGTCATTAAACCTAATCCGGGCCCCTTGGCGACCCATGAGCGATTTTCACCCCCTGACAGAGCGCACCCCCCTTTCCTTGTTGGGCCTTGGCCATGTCTTTCTCCTGGTCTTCTCTCCGACTTTGGCTGAATCTCAGCGCCTAACCAACTGACAAACTCCATGTGTCTTCCTTAGACCTTGCCTAGCGTAATGTTTCCCGCGACTGGGCCTCCCGTTAGGGCTTTCTAAACTCAAGTTTCTCACTTTGTTTCTGACAGTAACACCGCAGCATGATGAGGGGTAGGGGAAGATTTCTCTGAAGGTTCCACGGCCTCTTTTTGTCAGATTCATGGCAGCCCTTGATTGAACAACGAACCCGACTCGCCAACTCCTGCTTTGCGGGTCCGTTGGAGTCGCTGACTCTTTTCAAAGACTCCAGGCACACAAACGTCTCCGGTGCTCTTCGGCCCCTCCCATCCCAGGCTCAGACTCAAAGGATCCAAGTCCAGCTGTGCAGGCGCAGTGTCATCGTGGAGGATTGCGGCGTCTGTGGGGACATAGCGCCTTGCTACGTGGGCCTCCGCAGATGGACCGAAGGGAATGGCAAGCCTGGCAAGGCACTGACTGCCAGCACGTGTGAGTGACATCTCATCTTTCCGGCTGATGTTTAACGTTTTCATCTCGTCTCCTGTAGGGATGATATTTGGTATATAATCCCCCGGTCTCATCTTCTTCTGGGATGGTCTTGTTCTGATCACCACCACCATCCTTACACTCCCTCTTCAACTCTTCTTCTTTCCCCAGTCATTCTCTCGGCCAGCTTTGAAAGCTCCCAGATCAGGCATCACTCTTTTTGAACGCTCAACCAGCAGCTTCACTCCTTCGCAAGCCCAAACTTCCTGTCCCTCGACGTGAAAGTCCATACCACCTTCAGCTTCGAATCTTTGACAGCCATCCACCTGGCCGCCATCTAAACTACACACAATCCTTTTCGGAAAGAAACCCACATACCACCTTCAACTCCAGTCAAGATGTTCTCTACCACTTTGACCACCTTCCTTGCCGTCTCGGCTACCTTGGTCTCGGCCGCTACCATCCCGATCCGGGACGCCGGCAAGTCCGGTTCATACAGCATGACGCCCCACGACTCCTACTCTTCTTCCATTGGTGTCCTTGGCTGCAAGATCGACACCAACCGTGTTGCCTACTGGCCCAACCCTCTTAGCTGCAACGACATCTGCCTTAAGGTCTCCAATGGTGACCGCAGCGTTCACCTCCTCCGCATCGACCAATCTGGCGGTGCTTTCGACATCTCCTACGACGCCTGGAACTACCTCAGCACCGGCAAGTCTGCCACTGAGGACCCGACCATTGGTGGAGGTGTTCTCATGAACTGGGAGGCCGTCGATGCCAGCGAGTGCAGCCACCTTCTCAAGGACGGCAAGTTCCCTCTCTCTGCTGCCAACAGCATGAACTACCTTACCTCCTGCCTCGCCGAGCCCGACAGCTTCGTCGCCAAGAACTACGCTCTCTACAACATCCAGAACCCTGCTTGCACCTGGGGTGTCGATGAGGTCTGCACTCTCAACCTGGCTGTTAGCAACCAGGCTGCCTGCCCTAGTGGCCTCGGCTCCGTCAAGACTTTGACCACCCTGCCTGTTACCAACATTGGATACGGCACTGGCAAGACCGCCGTCGCTGTTCAGTGAACGCGCACAATAAGCACAGGTTGCTCAGAGATACCATGATACGATGCATACGAATGTTTATGATACATGTACATATATTATAGAAAGGGACTAGACAGAAAATTGGAGTCGAACATCATTGGAACTATTTGAAATTGGCGTGAACTCGTGCAGCTCAATGTGACTGAGACATATGATGCTGGAGGCCCTCAGCTAAAGCGAAACGGCTCCGCCTATGGCTAGATGGATCCCACGCAGGTCGGGATACGCCATAGAATAATCGACAGGAGGAGATACTGAGTCGTTCTCGCTCATTTAAAAGGCCGATGATCAAAGCTTCAGCGACTCCGCCGCCCTACAGCGGATATACATAGTACAGAGGTACTTAAGCTATGGCCATCTTCGTATTGCTAGCAGATCTCGTCAGAACTGATTTGGGTCAAGAATCTGTCGGCGACTTATACTGAAAGGCCCAAACAGGCAAACACGGCCATAGTCGTGGTCCTTGTCATTGTCTCAGCCACATTGGTCGTTTGAAACGACCGCTGCGGGCCTGCGGCGGTGCCCGATTTTTTTTTTATTACCGTATTCTTCAGCTCTAGGGTATTGACTCGGGTTGGTGATCCGTAGATCTCTCTCCCGAGGTTCCGTGCTGAACAACGGACTACATCCGTTACTGGCGCGGCAGTGCCATACTTAGGTATGTGGCGCCCATCATCTGTCTCCATACTCCCGTACTTTCATAACAGCATCATTATCGAAGCCCAGAAGTGAGCCTAAGCAATGAGCGAATATGCCTTTCACATGAACGGGCAGAGAGTGCAAAATTCATAAGCCTGGGTGTTCCTAGCCCGTTGAACCAACCTGGATGGGGAAACTAGACAACGCCCCTAAGCACCTGGGCACTCCTCAGCATACCGGCATCGTCTTCAAGCTTCTGTGGTCTGCCAGTTTGCGTTATTGTTACAGATCGAGGTCTAACACAGACGTTGACATCGGCAACTTTATTTAGTGGATTCTAATGGCGGGCCACATCTTCGTTTAGTCATGTGAAAGCATGGTGAAGACACAGTAACGTTATTTGTTGAGATATTTATTATTCTATCATATTTGGGAGAAACCAGAACTGGGCTTCATTTGTTGGCAATGTCATGCCTTCTCAGTAACTAGACTGAATTGATTGACAGTTAACGTGCAGCTAAGACACGGCCAAATTGTCAGCCGAACCGCGAGGGAAGAGACTGAGGCTTTTATACTGTCGTTGTGAACAACGTTGTACTTGTCATTGAAAATCAAGCCAGAACTCGTTATCTTCTACTAATTCAGCTCATTCTATCGGACCATTAGTCGTCACCTAGATATATCCAGAGCATCGAGTCGATGACTTGCTGCGGTTTAAACAAAAAAGATTTTCTATTTACCGTGGAACAGTGACCTAAAAGATGCTATCTTCGTAAGAAGGTCTAGTCTAAGTTACAAAGGAAATCGCTGCACCAAAGAACGAGGTCTATTCCCAGTCACAACCTTTAAGCTAGATTGATGTCTCATTTCCTTGCCGAAGTCGAGGTCGATAATAGATAAAACTCAGCCAATTATCTAAGTCTTTTCTATCTTTGAAATTCCCAGGCCTACTCAAACTATGAGTTTCAATCAAGGTACCTTACCTTAAGGTAGGCACCGCTAACATTGTCACAACTGGTGTCGCTGAGACCTGATTATCCTGACCTGCCACCGCGTAGACAGGCCCTACGAAGACGACGTAGAGGACCTGGACCTATGGTATCTAAATTTTAAAAGAAGAATTTGAGTCCAGAATTATATGAGACGGGGATTACTGGAAGAAACGCGAGGTAAGGACATTGGTACACGGAATAGTCCGTTCGTCCGCCGAAAAACGGAGGAATGGCCCGTTCCCACGAAAGCGAGCATTGACATTGACTGCGCTAGAGTCACACAATGGCACGTCAGCATCCCCATCGCCTACTCTATTCTTGGCTTCTGTGTGATTCCTGAGAATGACGAGATCTTGATTGGTCTGATGTAGCAGAGCCTGGTCCATTGAAATCGGCCCAAACCCATCTGCTAGACTAAACGGAAGAAACCCAGATACATATGCTTCCCACGACCGCCAATGACGAATGCTAGATTGACAAGCTGGTTATGCCATTCGATTACGGGAAGTGTGGAATTCAGTACATATCTTCGGAGTGTTACAAGCGGCCGTAGGGAGGGTTCGTTCTAAGAGCAAGACGTAACTCCACATCTGCCAAAGACTGGACTATCTTCAGTATATACGGCGGCAGAGTAGAGTCTAGAGATCTCCGTTAGCCGACCACACAGTAAGTGCCGACTGACTGCACTACCATGCGGTTTCACATCCACCTGCCCGGACTACGGTGAACAGAAAACCCCGCAAGCCGCCAACGACAGCCATCCGTCGTCCCACTCAGTTTCATTATAAAGGGCTGCAGTGTATTCCCTCTTCAGCACATTTCTTTACAGATCTAGCGTCACATCTGGAATCCTATAAAACAGCTGTAAGAAAGCTCCAGTCAACTCCACAGATACATAGGCTCATATATGGCTTTTGATAGCAACCTACAACGACAACATCAACATCGCCACGACACAATGCTTAATTCAAGCTTCTCACACCGTAGAGCTCTAGTCGAGGAGGACCCAAAGCCCAAAGATGCTCGAGCTGTCACACCACCCAAATTTCAACATGAGGCCCTGACCAGGAAGGCTGCGGGAACTACTCGACAATCACGCTCAAGCTGGCCGAGTTTCCAATGGTGGCTCATGGCTATTCCGTCATTCATTATTTCAGCTTACGGCGCTGCATTCTTCACCGGAAATACCCCAGGCGATTCACGAATCAAGGCGAGAATCATAGGTTCACTCGGAGGCGTCATACACATTGGGGGTTCTCTGGTGGCCATGGGACTCGGCCCTTTTCAGTTCCTCCCACAGCTACGACAGAGATATATCCAAATTCATCGCTGGTTGGGATGGGTCTACGTCCTTGCCGTAACGACTGGTGGCATTGCTGCGTTCTACGTCACATTCAACAGCGAGGCGTTGACATGGGGCAAGGTTGGCTTTGGCCTTCTCGCCTTGGGATGGCTGGAGAGCGCTAGACGTAGCATCGTTGCCATCCGATCGAATGGAGATGTCAAGAGCCACCAAGCTTGGATGACGAGGAACTTTGCTCTGACCTATGCCGCAGTGATGCTGCGGTGGCAGTTGCCTCTGATGATCGCCGCGGGTATGGAAGTTAAGTTTGCGCTGTCCATCACTGGATACATCTCTTGGATACCGAATCTTTGGTTTGTCGAACGTTTTGTATTAAACAGGAGCTGAGCATAGTCCTAGTCATGGTGGTTAGAGGAGACTCCAGCTTTGGATTGGTCACATCTCTTTCTTGTGTCAGACTTGGACGTGTAAGTCTTTTGTCGAATCACAGGCATTTGACAATTCATCAATCATTGTAGCCAATAGGGTCTGCGGTGTAATTTCACTGCTGCAGCAAGCAAATACTAGACTGATAGGGGTGCGGTGTTTACTTACAGCGCGGACTTTTGCAAAGCCGGGCAGAGGTCGAAAGGTCTCGGCTGGCAGGGCTAGTTCACAACTCGACACAACCCATAATTATTGAATACCAGATTGTATATCTTTATTTTACGAAATTTATCTAAGCAACCCGTTCTACCTTCTTGACGACTTTGGCCGGAACACCAACTGCGACTGAGTAATCGGGAATATCTCTGTTCACAAGAGCGCCGGCCCCAATGGTGCATCCCTTGCCAATGTTGATTCCTGGCAACACTGTGACGTTCGCTCCAATCCAGCAGTCATCGCCAATGGTGATGGGCTCTGCATACTCGATGTTGTCTCTCCTAGACTGCAAGGCAGTCTCGTGGGTTGCTGTGATGAGGCTGACTCCTGTGGCGAAGAAGACATTGTTTCCAATGGTCACATGAGCACAGTCGAGAATGACGCAGCTTTACAGGCTCTTGGTCAGTTTTGTCTGTTTCAAGGGAATATGAGGCGACTCATAGGAATATCACATACTTGAAGTTGGCGTAGAAGCGATCTCCGACCGTGATATTGCAGCCATAATCAACCTGCAAGCTGGGCTCGACGTAGACATCTTTTCCAATACCGCCGAAAAGCTCCTTGATCATGCCCACTCTCTTGTTGGCAACGTCGTCTGCAGATTCGTCATCTCCTGGGACGTAGGTGTTGAATTTCTGAGCCAGTCGACGGGCACGATGTCTCGATGCTACCAGCTCAGGCGCCATGCAGCTGTAAAGCATGCCAGAGACCATCTTCTCATAGTCGTCGCACCAGGGCACATGCTCGAGGGTCTTGGCGAAGGCGATAGCCTTATCGTCCTTTTGCGTACGGATTGGTGGCACCATCTTGGCTGTTGTACAGTTGACTGTCGATTGAGAGGCTCAAGGTGAGATGTGACGTTCGAATATCGACGTCGAAATTTGGGATCTCACCACCTTAAATTGGGCTACCAAGGTGGTGGAAGCGGTGACTCCGCCCGCCTTTTCAAGTACGAAAGCGAGGTACAGCGCATGACGCTAAGTCTTTTGGCTGGGGAAACTTCCACATTTGGTACACATCCCAACAGGTCGCGGAAGACTCCGCAAGCGCATTTAAACTATGGGGTGCGGGGTTGAAGCATCATGAACTCCAGACGACTTTTATAATTTCGCGAAAAAGTCAGCGAGAGATGTTGAAGCCTCAACTCTTCAAGAACGATATTGAGGATATAGCGCCTTTTGAAAGGATGATGTGGCTTTACAGTGACGGTTCCTAGCTAATCCAAGAAATGTGGCATTGGAACAGCTGACCAGACGTCATCTGACAGATCCTGTGCCGCAAGCCAAGTCGCTGAGACCGATTGCCACGTGCCTCAGACTTCACACCATAAGCGAATGAGCAACTAACGAGGACTCTGACGATCTCGGCGACTCTCACAGAACCTATGAGGTGTGTGAGAGAGCTGGAAGACCCTGCGCCACATTTATTCAGCCCTGCTAGGCAAAAGCGCTGGCCAAAGATCAGCAACGTCAAGCCACGAGATGACATCTTGGCTTACTACATTAGGAAAACTGAAGTCGCTTCGAAACGCCCTCTTCAAGCTTCAAGTATCTTTCATGACGCACAAGGCAGAACGGCTGGACCCTGCGGCTTTCCGAGTCTGGGCAAACGAAGTATTTATGCTTATTTCTTCCCTAATTCTAAGCGTAGTTAGATCACCATGATAGTGGAGCATCATCAATAAGTAAGACCAATCTTTGTTATATATATACGATACAGGCAACATCCTTTGCACCAACTCCGAAATGTATGAACTTGTTTCCCTCATCGACAAACGCATCGATCAGCACAACCAGAAATCACACAACATGATGAGCACCGGCTGCGACGCAACACCCACGCCATCCGGCTCACCCTGCGAAGTCCTCCGCCAGGTGGAACGACTGGGTGGTGCCCAAACAATGATAGAACGGGTCGATCTCGCAACCGGTTCTACAACACCATTTTACGTACTTCACAGCAACAAGGAAAACAAAACCGTTGCCGTGTTACATGCAGATCCCCGCGTGCAAGCATCGGGTGAAGCATTGGGTACAGCGAAATACCATTCCCTGTCCTCAAAAATCGACGTCATTCTCCGCGGCGTGCCGATCAAGATGAAGACCAACACTATGGGTAACACACACAGGTTCGACCATCATAGTCTGAGCTACAGTTGGGGTGTATCCAATTTGAGCATGTCAATGAACACGATGTATCTGAAAGATGCCGGGGGCAACCTACTGGCGACATGGAAAAGGTACCCAGAGGGCAGGTTAAGCGGCATGATTGGACAGTCAGCCCCGACATTTGAGGTTTACGTCCCGCCACAGAGCATCGACATGGACATGGTGATTGTCACGGGATCTGCAGCGGTCGAGTATTGGCTGAAGTATAAGAAAGACTCCTACGCAGCGGTAGGAGAGGCCTTTGGTGCAGTTTAATACATGTTGAGAAACTCATAGCGGACTGTATGTTGGATTGTATTTGTTGGCCTAGCATTCGATGGGAAAGCGAATGTCGATTGGGAGGCTTTGTGGCGTTGGCGCTGATCTGATAGAGTGTTTTATTTCTGTTCAATATACTTAGAGTTTCCATTTTCTAGTGTATAAATGTTGAAGCACTGGGGCAATTGAGATGACCGACAGCAACCGGAGATGATGTATCATACGAAGGTGCTACGAGTATGAAGTTGTACTAATAGTTTGCCCATGACAATTCATTCTGCCTATGTTTCTAGGGAGGACGCAACAGCAAGAGGAATGGATTTTCTTTAGCGGCCCCTCTTCAAGGTGAATCCACCCCAAGAGCAGGATTCGAGCCGTTAGCCCTGTGTTGTAAAGTTCCCTAAGGAATGGTCTAGGACGATCATGCTTCACTATCGAGATAGTGAGCAATGATCGTCTGTCGCAGTAGACTCCTCTCTCATAGCTCCTCCGTTGCTTTGATGAAACTCAAGACAATGTTGACGAAGAAAACGGCTCAAGCCTCGACTTCACAACGTCTTTATGTTTCACATTTTCAGTGACAAAGCCGAGAAGTCGAAGCATTGGGGCCACAAAAAAACCAGCCAGCGATAGTCATGATATCTTTATACTTTGACGCCTTCTGTATAGCAAGTTGTCTTTCAACTCGGACGAGCAGGTGAATTCTGAAGCCGATGGAAGGAAACCTCTTGCCCGGACACCTTTATGACAGACAGTGCTGATGGGACCCATCTTGCCTCTCTCAGGGCATATTTCAACACGTCCTAACTCACACTCTTGATCGTTGTATCACGAGGTCTCACCTCTATCCCGCAGAAAGCAAGTCAACTAACAAAACTGGCGAGAGCACCCCCATTTTCAGCCTGCTCCTTCCTTCTACTCTCAAAGTGATTATCCCTCCTTTTCGAGTCTATACTTGCCTCAAATTACTCCCAGCTTCTCCATCATCGCCTACTCTCTCTTCTACTCAACCACTTTTGCTGCCAGCCAACTCGTTCAACAATCTTAACAAGCTTTTCCGGTGTCCTCTTCTACACGCATTCTTTGAGCACATTTACTTAGTCCAATCACCACTCAAACTTCGAGACCAACATGGACGAATTCTGCGTTCGTCTCCTCTCCTACTTCGACCGCGGCATGGACGGCAAGCCCGGCCGCTGGCCTCACTCCCTCCCTTCTCCCGAGGACATGGCGGGCGCTGGCTATCGCTTCGAAGGCAACCAGAAAGTCGGAGGCGATATCGTTGTCTGCGATTTCTGCACCATGCAAGCTTGGGCGTGGGAGAAGAAAGACGACCCGTTCGCTCAGCACATGGAGTCGAAGACTTGTGAATACGTCGACAGTGCCATTTTTCGCGAGTACCACCATAAGTTCCTCCAGAAGCAGGGCGAGACCAAGAAGATTGACGACTTGATGCTCACGCCTCCTGCTACGCCCACCAAGAAGTCCTACAAGCCGCGCCGGAAGTTGCGCTTGTCCCCCATCGTGACTGTCTTTGACAGCAAGCCTTCCCAGGAGGCCGACCCTAAGACCGTCAATGGCAACAACACGCCTGTCGAGATCGCGGTTTCTGCTGGAGAGACCAAGATTTTGATCAAGATTACTGATGGCGGTGAGCGTGGTAAGCTTTCAGTTCCTACTCCTACTCTATCCTTCTTACCTTGAAGCTAACAAGTCGGACAGCTGCCAAGAGAATCCGTCTCGAGTGAGCAGCCTTGCGCTCGACGTTCGTCCAAAGACAATATGGCTGTCAGCCATGTGACTTTTACAAACATACTTGCTTTGAATACGTGGTTTGTTCCATCTATTCCGACTTGCAAAACGCTCGGGAATACTGACATATCTCACCAGTATATCAGAGATTGCTACATTATCGATTTTACTCAGTGCGTGGACTAGCGAGGAAGAGTCATGTGCCTTAGGGCAAGATACCGATATGGAAGGAAGGAACTATGAGATATGTACAGGAAATTGCCCAGATCAGCAAGTATAACGCTTGTGGACGAGTTTCCCAAGGGCAAGGCATGACGGTCATCAGCTGCGTTTGGACAGAGCCATCAGAAGACTTGCACCAAGGGTGGCGAGAGGGAATATTACCATTATCATGAGGCAGTAGTTCGTCTCTAGGTAGCCAAGATACATGTGTATCATTCACTCATTCAAGCTTACGGTCCAAACAGCCTACGTGACGACGTAAGATTCAGTGGCGAATATCCAGTCACCGCTCGTTGAGTCCTCGCCCACCCGTGACATCGCAAAACGACTGCCTCTCCAGTTAGATCCATCCTGTAGATGAGACCAGTGCCTCAGCCGTCCCCAGGTCTCACAGATCACATCCTTCCTCCTCATCGTCACAACCCATGTCCAAAAGGTCTACGAGAGCGGAGTATTGGGTGGGCAATGCACGACAGGCAAGACAAATCATAGCAAGTGCCGACTGGGAACACAGCACGCGGAGGATTGAACGGGGCCGAAGGGTTGTCGGTGTCCGCGGGCCGTGAGACATTAGCACAGAAACGTGGGTGTGTGACACACCCGCATACATCTACAAACAAGATCTAGCGAGGCTTACTCCAACGTATGTCTATGTAGACATCCAGTTGCTTATACTCTGCATGTGGTATCAAACGAGAGTGAGAGGATGAGCGAGTCCCCGTCATTGTGAGCGCAGTGACGCACGCTAGGAACTCGCGCCACAGCCATCAATCCCCCAACTGGAAATTCAACGTCGCGCTGTACCTGTTGCCGCAGAAGCGAGCAGCTCAAAGACTTTCCCTTCCAGACCGACCGGAGGATTCTTAACAAACGCTGGGCGCAAAGGTGACGTTCTCCGTGGTCAGAAATGAGTCTAACTAGGCACTTGATCAGCGCGTGTGGTAGTCGTTAGGATCTGTGAGGAGCCCCTGGTGGGTGTTCCTTAGGCAGCTCCCGGTCGGCTGCTCTCTGTATTCTGTTTGGTCAGCGGTCAAGTTTGCACGTTGTAGTAAGGTAGTGAGGTAGGCGAGGTAGGTAGTATCAGCGGCCATCCGCAGCGGCGAGGCGGGTTCGTTCCATTTAGCTCGAGTTCCAGCGTAGGGCCAGGTGCAAACCGTACTACGAATGGAACGGCTGTCAGGCGGGCGAGCGGCGGTGCGCTGCGGGCTGTGCGGGAGCGCTCGTGATGGCCGCACCGCCGGGTGACAAGACGGGCGACTGACGGGGGTCGACCAATGACCTTGGCGATGGGTGACAGCCACCAAGATGTAGGCAGACTTTTTGTGAGATGAGGCAGCTTTTGCCCAGACGTATTTAATGAAGCAGACGGACTGCTCATGATGTGAAAGCGAATGGGTTTCTGAGTATCGTGTGAATAAACCGAATATCAAAAGCACAAGAATCAAAGCGAATCACGAGGTCGAGACGAGAAGCTACAATGACGACTGTCAATCAATACCAGCGTAATGGCAGATCAGGCCGCCCATCGGGGCGCAATCCGCTCCGTACCGTCTGGCGCGAGACGTACGAGGTCTGGGATGGGGTCTGCTACGGCGTAGGCAAGGCCTATTTCAAGATCACCGGCAGATGGTGATATGCCGTGGGGGCAGGCGACAGGACCGGCGGACGCATGGATGCATCATCGCATTCCAGTATAGCCTTGACGGCCCACCGAGTAGTGACGAATGACGAGCAACACACGAGTAACGAGTAAACGAATAATGCGCCTAATGATTAACGACAAACGACAACCGGTGACGAGAAGATAAACGACGGAGCACCGGGGTGGAGGAATCAAGCATTTCGAGTATTCCGAGAGCAACATGAGGGAACCACAGGCAGGCATACAGGAATGTTGACAGGAACCACCATTCACCAACCAATCCGACGGGTGTGACAAGGAAGGCTGAAAGAAACAACCCGCTTGGGCGAACAGCAAGATTGGCATCGACAACCCGCCCACCGATGACGTCGGGCCTGGGAAAATCTCGATCAGCGCCGCAGACTCCAGAGCGCTGTGTCCATCTCTTGGCACTGTGACAGATAGTTCAGCTGGAGGCGGATTCAGTGGTTCCCCATCAACTTGACACGGACTTGAGGGGATCATCCTGCCAGAGTGGGCCCTTTCAAGGCTCAAGGTTTTGGTGACGCCGGGAGGGAAAGGGGACAGTCGCTGGTCGGGTGAGCCGGGGGGAGATAGGTAACGAGGACTTGCTGCTTGTAAGGAATGAGGATAAGGCGCGAGAATCCGAGGAAAGAACATCGAGAACGCGGGAGCTGCGGACACGGCGGACGGGGATCACGCTGGGTGGCCGCGGGATGATAGCCGAGTGGGATGGATGGACGCCTTTTGCGATTTAGATCATTTGAACGAGTATGAAACGGGGCGCGAGCGACACCGAAACGATCTTCTGTCGACTATCAACAAGAATAGTAAACGAATGCGGTACGGGAAGGGAATGCTTGGTTGGAGTTGCACTGCCGCAGACCACGTCGCATGGAATCCATAGAATAGAAGATCCGAATATACGATCAGCAAGACTCTGGTCACTCTCGAATTCTGATTAACGGGTCACGTCTCACAGTACGTTGTACCGATAAACGGGCCAAAGGGCTCATTCTCGGGGAGAAACGAGACACAAGACAGGTGAAGGAAAAGCAAGCAAATCGTTTGTCCATCGTATTGGCTTCCTGCGCGGCAGATGAACCAGTGTCGAGAAGCCCACACAAACCACAATTCTGTCGTTGGAAAATCGGGGCGGCAAGCATAAAGGTGATTCCAGATTGAGATTCGCACGACCAGGTTTGATGGTTTGATGCTGGGCCCTGAACCAATGCCAACAGCGCATCCAACATTCGGACCGGGCCCGTCTGGCCCCCTTCTGGAGACTCTCTGGACGTCTGGGTCGTTTAAGCCTGGCGCTAGGCCTAGAGTAAACAACTTAAGGTAGGCCACACCAAAAGAGAGTTAATTGGACTCCCGCTTCGCCGGTCCTATTTTTGTTGCTCTTGCAGGTTGGCGACTGGCGAGTATTAGGTGGCCATGCGAATACATACGCTGCCAGTATGGATGCTGCCAGCAGCGACACGGTACTGGAAAACCCCGTCGAGTCAGGGAACATGGCGGTTAGCGCTGACTGCACTGCTGGTCGGAACTACGTAGTAAAAGCCTTCACTGTGTAGAAGAAGCAGCACACCCACACAGCCTGTAGGTGTGCCTCCAAGCCTCGTATTGGCGGCGATATGAAAGTTTTGCCTCTGGGGCTGTGGTTGACAGTTTGTCGATGCGCTGCTTCATCGACAATTCGGAGACTTCGGTCGGCCCCCGTCCGTCCCGAGCTGGTGGTGAAGCTGTCCGTCATGCGTTGGCTAGCTCAGCTCGATTTGCATTTGCTCAGCAGTGAGGCATCCGTCAAGCAAGGATACGGGCAGATTGCGCAGCGCTTTGTCATAGGACACTCGCCAGAAACATCGGTCCGTCTGGGTTCGCGTGCTGCGAGACAGCAACAGCCGAGCGCTGCAAGCCTGATGGATCATGAATGGATGGTGTGGGATGACTGGGAGAACAGACGAATAGTGGGATGATTGGCCTGAAGGTCTGGACCGCCGCTGCAGTCAGATTGTGTACAGAGTACTTTCCGTCGACGTCGACGTATCTGCTGGGAGCCTGGCTGTCTGGGTTGTTCTGCTCCTACATTGCACAGAGTATTGAATTACCCATTGTAACATTATCTGTGGTTCTCACTGGAGATTTGGGCCTTTGGCGAGTGACACCTCGGAGGCTGATATTGACAGTCGAGTTGGCCACGGTGGAGATAACAAGAAAACCATGCCGGAAGTTGATTGCAGTGCTGCCAACAAGGAGATGTATCCGTATGTGGCAGATGAGGTTGAAAAATTCTTTCAGATCGCTGCCGTGTTCATCTCGAGCATGTTGGATTGGACTGGGCAGAGTCGGTGGGAATTCGCCATGGCAGACCTGAGGGAGAAGAGCGCGCTGGGCAGTGGCTGGGCGAAAGGGAACCTGTGAAGTGAAATTGACTTTCTTTCTGGTTATGCGCCGCGGGACTTGACAGCGGGATGTGATGAGATAGTGAGGCGCAGAGGACGGACGACAAGAAATGCCAATGTTGAGAGGTGAATGACCTCTTGGCAATCCAGGTCGAAGAGTTCTTGGTTTATCTGTTGAGGCCAAAGATGGTGATGGTTGACGCTTGGCGGCACACGATAGCCTCCAGTTCTGTTCGTCTAGGACCTGATTACTAGGTACGCAGTAGAGGCTAGAGCATCTCGGCGTCTTGCTGGAGGGGTTCACTGGTTCTGGTAGGCCGGTGCGTTGGTGGCACACCCACGAGCTGTAGCCTGTGAGCCTGTCCTATGATGGACCAGACGAGGGGCGGCGGCTGGGTTGTGAGAAGATGAGCCCGGCGTCCGCAAGTCCCGGTCTGGAAGGTCAGCCGGTTCTCCAGGCCGAAGCTCACCTCGAGTGGAGATTGCCCCTATTTCTCGCTATTTCACTAACGGCCTTGGTGGATGAGGCGGTGGACCGCAGCCCCAGCGGCTACAGTGTGAGCTGGGGGCGTGATAATGGTGCCCTGGTGCAGTGTGTTTGTGTTGGTTCGAGACGGCGTCGGAAGGAGAGTTGTCAAGGAAAGATGTAGGGAAGATGGAGGCATAACATCTTTAGGTGGTAGACACCTGGGCAAATGTTAGTGCTTTACTTGATCATCATGGGGTGATTTGGATGGACCTCTGTCCACACTGTGCCAAGTCTCTCACAACCTTGAAACGAGATGAACATGGCCCAGGCGGTTCCCGGCGTACATCCAGGGTACGTATCTCGTCGCTCGCCTCTCTTCCATGTCTCTCTTCTTCTTCTTTCGCGCGAAGGAGAAGGTTCTTAGGTAATAAGACATTCCTTTACTTGTAGTAAGGAGGTAAGGTAGGTTCGGTTGGCAGATGCATGTTGAGTGCAAGTGCTAATTTGGCACATGTGCAGGTACCTCGTGATTCAATAGTGTCGCGCAGTGGCTTCAGGTACCGTCGCATCTTTCTCTTTTGCTCGTCTCGTCCAAAGAATGGAAATGAAAGATGCAGGCAAGGTATGAATGGTGCTAAGACGGCTGCGCCTCGCTCTCACGCCGGCTCTTCGTGTCTGCGGTCTTGTTGTCTGAATGTGTGTGCCAATGGTGTATCCAATAAGCGGCGTCAATTGCTGAATGTAGAGATGCACGTAGGTATTGGTGTTTGGTACGATGAGACGGTAGCGCATGTATGTACGGAGTATTCACGAGGGGATCCAATTTGCGCATCGAATACGGGGGTGATTGCTCAATGAATTGGAAGAGAGCGAAATTGGATGAATGCTGAACAGTGGACGGTCACAAGAAAGCAGAGTAAAAATATCAAGAGATTAGAGAGGAGGAGTGGAGGAAAGAGACTTTGGGAGGAGGGCAAGGGGGGGAGGATTGGAGGAAGCAAGAGGCTAGCAGAAGAAGCTTGCCAGTAAGGATAAACCGAAAGGGGTCACCCCTGCCCCTCCTTCCCTCTTGCCCCTGGTGGTTATCCATGACCCCGGTCCTTCCTTCCCTGTCTGTTCAAGGTACCTTTTTTACGCCTTCCGCGCCGTTGCTTCCTGCCTTCTCAGCACCGCGGTGGTCTAGCCGGTGCCTGCCTCACCATTGCACCAGTCGATCCTCTGTGCCTTCCTTCCACAGTCCACTCCTTCCACTGTAGCAACGGCAGGCAGGTTCAGTTCTCTTGCTCTTTCCCATTCTTTACCTACCTTAGGAGAGATGCCTTGGGTACATCCACAAGTACACAGGTACATGGACACTTTTGCAAGTACCTCACTTCGTACCCGGTGGGGCTTAACCACACATTCCAGGGCGTGTTTCTGCTTTTCTACCTCGCGCCTCCCTCCCGTCACAGAATCTCTGACTTCTCGATTCTCCTTTCTCCTCTCCGTGTTTCCTCCAAACCCGTCCACTCCCTCACTTGCTATCCGCAATCGTTTCTTCTTGTAGGGGAATTTATTAGACAAGGCCCTATTCATCCTTTTTTGAATGTGTCACTGTCTCTGAAACCCTATTCTTTTAATCAACAACAAACCACTTCGCACTCTCGTTAGCTCAACCAATTATTTCTACCTTTTTCAGACCGTTTGGATCGGATATCCAGGAAAGACAAAACCACAACTAAACGTCACTTCCACTTCCCGACAACAACCTCGACGACAAGTCCGTCCGAGAAGATCCTCCAGACCATACGTACCGAAGACTCACAAATCACACAACACAACCATCACAATGGGCAAGGTCGCCGCCGCCGTTTCTGCGGCTCTGCTGCTCGCCAGCAACGCCGCTGCTCTCGACCCTATCGTCATGAAGGTATGATGCCATCACCCATACCCCCACCAAGCCCGACATGTATCACTAACAATCCAAACCAGGGCTCCAAGTTCTTCTACGAGAACGGCACCCAGTTCTACATGAAGGGTATTGCCTACCAGCAGGACACCGCCGCCGCCGGTGGTGAGTCCAAGACTGGCGACTACAACGATCCCCTCGCAGACGAGACTGCTTGCAAGCGTGACGTTCCTATCATGGTCAAGGCCGGCACCAACACCATCCGAACCTACGCCATTGACCCCAAGAACAACCACGACGCCTGCATGAAGCTTCTCAGCGACGCCGGCATCTACGTTGTCTCCGACTTGGGTGAGCCCAAGCTCTCCATCAACCGTGACAACGCCCAGTGGAACACCGAGCTCCTCGACCGCTACACCGCCGTCATCGATGCCCTCGCCAAGTACGACAACACCATCGGTTTCTTCGCGGGTAACGAGGTCTCCAACAACAAGACCAACACCGAGGCTTCCGCCTTCGTCAAGGCCGCCGTTCGTGACTCCAAGAAGCACATCAAGGACAAGGGTTACCGCTGGATGGGTGTTGGCTACGCCGCCAACGACGACGCTGACATTCGCACCAACTCGGCCCACTACTTCAACTGCGGTGACCAGGATACCGCCATTGATTTCTGGGGTTACAACATCTACTCGTGGTGCGGTAAGAACACCCTCGCCGGTGCCGGTTACACCACCCAGATCGACTTCTTCAAGAACTACTCCGTGCCCGTCTTCTTCGCCGAGTACGGCTGCAACATCCCCGACGGTGCCGATGGCCGTATCTTCCAGGAGACCACCGCTCTGTACGAGAAGGAGATGACTGACGTCTTCTCTGGCGGTATCGTCTACATGTACCACCAGGAGGCCAACGACTACGGTCTCGTCGAGATCAACAACGGCGTCGCCAAGACCATGAAGAACTACGACCAGCTCGCTTCCCGTGTTCTCGCTGCCACCCCCGCTGCCGTTCAGATGGCCTCGTACTCCCCCACCAACAAGGCCGCCGAGTGCCCTGGCACCTCCTCCACCTGGGAGGTTCACGGCGATGCTCTTCCCCCCACCCCTGACAGCTCTCTCTGCGAGTGCATGGTCAAGTCTCTTTCTTGCACCCCCAAGGATGGCCTGAAGGCTTCTGCCATTGGCGAGATCTTCGGCTACATCTGCGGTGCCTCCCCCGACTCCTGCCGCGGTATCAACACCAACACCACCACCGGTGTCTACGGCGCCTACTCCATGTGCACTGACGAGCAGAAGCTCGCCTTCGTCATGGACACCTACTACAAGGCCCAGAAGTCCGCCAGCACTGCTTGCAACTACGATGGTCAGGGCCAGGTCGTTACCCCCTCCTCCACCGACAGCTCTTGCAGCTCCGCCCTTGCCTCCGCTTCTGCCGCCAACAGCGCTGCTGCCACCGCCACCGCCCCCGTCTCCTCCACTGCCAACCCCAGCTCCAGCTCTTCTGGCAACGCTGCTGCCGGCAGCCCCTACCAGCCCATGTTCAACTTCGGCGGTTTCGCCATCGGCGCCTACATTGTCGCCGCTGGTGCCGTCGGTGCTGCCATGGTCGCTCTGTAAACGGTCTCTTCATCTAATGATGTGTTGAGGTGGAAAAAATGGGTGTGCCCAGGATTAGGGCGATATACATTTATGCGAGCGTGTAGGATATCCAACGCAGGTTACCACGGTGCCTCGTTTAATACAGTCACGACTCGACAGATTTTCTTACTGGCATGAGGCTCTTTTGTGTTTCTCACCATCACATGGCGTTAGGTCTTCGCTGGCAGCAGCTATTCTGCTTCATGACTGGCCGACAGAGGTCAATGTTGTTTTCTAGTGTCTTTTGGTTCGATGAATAGAACTTTTTCTTTTTGTTCATATCGATTGCTCTGATTGACTTTGTGAATGTGTGAGTGTACATGCCTCGACTTGGCAGTGATCTCAGCCACCATCTAGCCGTTGCTCTTACCTTGGCAACCTGGGCGTCATTTACCTAAGACTTTTGCCCAGCACTTGGCAAGACTCTCGGACGCATGTAAAATATCTACGGACGCTGTTACTGAAGCGGTGAAGATGGTTTTCATGGTTGCCAAGATCACAGCTTAATAGTCTACCTGCCGCTTGGCCCCTTGTAGGATATTTCAATGACGATCCCGAGCCCTCTCGAAGTTCTGGGTCCCGTGGTTGAGAGGTAGTCCCGAAATTTACATACTACGACGTCAATTGGTTCTCACAATGACCCCCGTTGTCCCATTTTTATATTGCTCCCGGAAATTTCAAAATCCATACGCACGCGAGTAAAGACCTCTTTCTTCCTCGGCGAACCTATCTCTTTTGTCTCTCTCGTATCCCATATGCAAGAAGGTGTTCTCTACCTTAAGCAGACGAATCGGGAGAGTCTTGTATTTCGTTACATAGTCCAGCGTCTGCCACGGTAGCCATGGTTTCAGCTGTCTCGTCTGGTGTACAATTTCTCGACTGGCAGCAACTCTTCTCATGGAAAGGCTCAAAATACTGTCGACGAGGTGTATCTGGCTGTCAATCTTCTCTAAAGCTGCTTGCCATAAGGGCAGAGTCTTCAGCCTCGAAAATGTTGCCCATGTGTCCACGTTTGGTGGGCCAGGAGACCGGACTTGGTTTTAGTTGCTTTGGGGTTCATTAACACGAATAATCTGCCGTTTATGGTATGATGCTACATTAGAACGCTTTCTGGACGACCATGTAGCGACTATTCGCAGCAATACGAAAACCTCTCTCTCTCTCTTCGTCCGATGCATCTTAAGATAAGGTCATAGACAAGATGGTGAGAACGAAGCGAGAGCTACTTAGTAGCACATAGTTCAACTTATTCCGGGTTTACGCCAGAGAGTGCGTGTACATAGTCGGTTCGTGTGTGATCGCTAAGGCAGGCGCAGACACCTGGGTAAGTGACCTATCAAGATTGAATCGAAGACGTGTCCAGGGGAGGTACGATACCACGAAACGTCTACAAAAAAAGCAAAACATGAACCCGTCCCCTCTATTCCAAGAGCTCTGAATATCTTACGCTTTGTCAGGATTGCCAGCCATGCTTTACACTTCCATAGTACTCATATCATGTTTCTATGATAGTCACGAGAGGCTCTGGCCTAGAGGACCCTCAAGACCAATAGTATTCTTTCTGCTGGCATTTGCGTTCGGCAATGTAGCCCTTTTACACGAAATTCCACGAACTCTACGTATTTAAAGGCCATGAGGTACATATTATGTCTTAAATGGCCGTTTCCCCTACTGACCTTTCTATTGGATTCTTTGAAAATTACCCTGACCTGGATACATGTAAACATGTACTGCGGCTCAAGCACCGCTGAACACTGGAGGCATTGACACTTTGCGTGATCTATGAAGGAGCTCGAGGCATGGGCCGAAGAGGGTTTGTTCGCCGAATGACCCTTTGCATCCAAAGTAGTTGAGAATTGAAGTTGAATTCACTAACCTGGCCTCTTGTCTCCAGACACTTGTCAGACTGACCCCAGTATCGTACGCCACGTCCGTCAGCCGTAACGATCATTAGGGCTCCCAATACCGAGTCAAAATAGTTGAGCTTGAGGACTGAGCATGGGTTGCAGGGGGCTGTTGAGCTGCCACTCGTTGAGTACTGGTTTCCGATATTGCGACTCCGTATTGTTTGACCAAGGTAGCTAGAATGGTCTGGTTGGTCTCATTCTCATTGGAGAAAGTGTGGTACTTTCTGCTTCAGTCAGCCCGTAGCAATGGGGTCGCTGTTGTGTTTCTGATTTCTTTGCAAGCCTCAGTGTCTTTGCCAAGTTCAGTCGGTTGCGCTGGATCATATCGAGGGAAACCGGCCTTGATAATTGGCTCTAGAATCCCTCAGGTCATCCTTCGGCATGGAATGGTCTCGTCTCGTGAACGTAACCTTAAGAATTATAACATGTGCATTTTGATGAAGAGTATGAGATCGGACTCGGGAAGGGCAATTAGGGCAAATTGATCGTATCGAACGAGTACTAGGCTTTGCGAGAATTGTTTGTTAGTATATGGTTGCAAAGGGCTTTGGGGCTTTGAGTGGACTGCAGTTGAACGATGGCGGTGTAGTTGAACGGCGCCTTGTACTATTTCGACGAAGGTGACGACAACAGGATGATATTTATGAATTGGATGGGCATGAGGGAGTATATTCAAGAACTGACTTGAGATATACGGGACAATACCGGATTGTTGCACTGACTTAGGGATGGCAAGCAAAAGCCGGAGAGTTCGAGATCTCCGAGATTTTCGAGTAGGGCTTCGTATTTTTCGCTCGGAGGATATTGCTAGTTCTCGTCCTTGATCCTAGATACAGCCATGCGAATGATTGGTTCTATCGGAAGAGAGTAAAAGGGTTCGTTCGAAGTACGGGGTCGGTTTTCTCCAGTCTACAGTGTGGCCTCGGGCTTGACGACATGAACATCGATCAGTTCTGCCTTTGACTATGTCCTGGCATTCTTCATCGAGTACCAAAAGGCCTATGGTACATCCAAAGACTAGAAGTGACGAGCCTGACTACTTACAGCTTGTTTGTTTGTGGGATTTGGTACTCGATATCTGTTATCATGGTACTAGAACTATCTTGTGGAGGATAAATCATGACCAGATCTCTGATTGTTGAAGAGATGAGACAGGTTTGTTGTGTATATGTTGCCACATATACTACAGTTGTACGAGTGGGAACGTCAAAGTAGTAATATCATGAACGGCGACTTGTAAGAGCAAGTGGTAGAGACGCAGACAAAAGCCTCAACAACTACGCGAGAACAGCTAGTTCAGAAGAACGCAAACGACTTTGCTCTCTCTCTCTCTGAGATGCAAGAGAGAGATCCTATCAGAGGCATAGTGATGACCATCCGGCGTCCCTGAAAACCCTCAAGTTTACACAAAACTTGGAAGGCCGAGACAACCGAGGAAGTTCGGCCACTCTACAGCCTCTGGTTCGTCAGTTTCTCACCGCAAGGTACGTAACTTTACGGTGATGATCATTCCTCGGTCTCAAGCAGTGCTACCGTCGTGTCCTATCTCAATGAATGCAGCCTTGCGGCGCAGACATGCAGCCCTATTCTTCAGGCCACCCGTAAACTCCCTATTCCTCATCCAAGGACCAAGCAAAAGTACTGTAGGCCTGACCAACAAGGTGATACCAGGATCTGGGTGACTTGTTGGATCTGTGGGATCATGATGGAGGCTGGGCGACTTTGCACGTTTTGGGCTTGGTTTGCGAATCTGCCGCAACTCCCATTGAGATGGAGGGGAGACCACGGGGGATGGTGGGCAGCAAAACGACAGGATGCGATTGAACATAGTCTACAGGCAGGCAGACAGACCAGACAGACTACCAAGAACCGACGGCGTGGCACGGCGGGCGAAGATGCAGGTAGGTTCAACCCAACTATCGGGAATTTTGTGTCGTTGAAATTAGCTTCAGTTCTCGTTCAATCGGACACAGGAGAGGTGATCGTCGCCCAATGGCACGCCGTAGAAGGGTCGAGGATGCCGAGGTTCGATCCGAGGGAGGGGGTTGGAAGGATGGCTTGTCAGGTCTAGACTGGGAAGTTTGATGTCCTACCTTAGTCTGAGCCTCTGAGGGGAAATCTATAATGGTTGTCCGCCGTCCGGGCGGTTGCTCGTGGAGGGTGTGGTGGCGTGTATGCATCCTAAGATCCTCAATAGGTAGGAGTCGGGAACCTAGACTCGGGGAGAAAGTGTGCATGATCTGTGGAGGGATGTACACTATCTGCGGCGACGCCAATGCTGCTTGGCTCGTTCTATCTCTTGTTGTTTGGTAGCACGGCGAGGCATGCAGGGCGAAATTGAAGAGGGTGGCATCGAATCACCTGGTCCTCAAGGGTCCATGCTCGCGGCAGCTCGCCCCAACGCCAACGCAAGGGAGACTGAAGACGATGTCTGAACCGCGGTCACGGTAGTGGAATCTTTACACGTTCACACGTTGTTGGGATGATGTGCGCTAGGACGCTTGAGACAGCAGTCACAGACTCACAGACACGAAGACCGCCATGTCGGGAACAGGGGTGGAACAGCCACGGGGGAGGGGAGGAGGCGAGTTAACGACAGCTCATCTCCCTGTTAATCTGATTGGGAATGCCTCTTCGATGCTTTCGACGACTGTTGACGACGGACAAGACGGCAACATGGCTATAAACGTCCGGATAGGACAGGTCATGGGTGGCACGCGGCTTTTGCCAAGATCGATGGAGGCATCTTGGCGTCCGGTGGCAGACGGCGTCTCTCGATCACTTAGGAAGTTTGGCGTAAGTTTGGCGTCCTTTGGCTCGGGTTCGACGGACTGCGTCTAATGAGGTCTCGAAGCCCTCGATGCCTCCTAGAGTCCCTTAGGTGGACTGGGACGGCGGACTTATGGTACGGAGTACACGACTCACACGGAGGGCGGCAATTGAATTTGCTTCATTTCGCGTGAAGGTTCGTGGGCAGCACACTCAATTCAGTCACCGGCGCCAACAAACGAATTACAGTTTTTCGCAAGCGCGTGCGTAATGGTTCGTCCACCGTTCGAAGTTCGAGGGTCAACAAAGCCTTTCGTTCGTCGTCTCATTCTTTCGGTGTCTTATTCTTGCCGTCATTCCAGTGCAGGTTCGGGACGAGTCACCCGGGAGATGGGTATAACGTATCAGTCAAGAAAATGACAGATGCCACGGCCACGGATATCCCCCATGTCTGCTGCGTCTGGAGGTGACATGACATGAGATGGAGCACGCTCCACAGGGTTATGTCACTCTTTCTGCGAGATACCCTGAGCAGTGTGTCATCAAGCCTGAAGAAGAAGCATATCACTTCCTGTCGGTGTCCTTAGACCCTGGCTCGTATC